CGGCGGATAATATTTCATAATGCTAGCATTAGATGTGCATGTACATGTACATGTATCTAGCATATTTAGCACCTTTTGGAAACTAGCATTGCGCTAGCATAATCCGGCAAGTTTTGCAGAAAACTAGCATACAGTAAAACCTGCCAAGGCGACCACCTGTTCCCGAAGACCACCTGTTCCCGAAGACCACCTGTTCCCGAAGACCACTTCAATCAGGACCAAGGGATGCTATTTCCGGTCAAATGACCCTGGATAAGGAGTAGCCCTTTCCCAAAGATGTTCGCCACTTTTTCGCAACTTTTGGTTGTTTTGGAAGAGATCGCAACTTTCGCAACTTTCTTCATTCGTGAATGCTCCCCTTCAACAAGAAGCGCTGAAAAATTGCATGAACTCATTATGACAAGTGTACTTCTCGAAGAATATGTATGATGTACAAAATGGAACAAAAGTCATGTACATGTACATGTATATAATTATACACTAGTCAGAACAACAGATGGCTTGATCAGTCACAACTTAAAGTTTCATGCCATCTCAGGCACTCAATCACTATCGACGTTAATCTTTGGACAGTGATTATTTCCTAGACGTTACGCACAGCCTCAACACTGGGAAATTCCAGCCGTATCGTAAACCTGGAGACGCACCTCTCTACATCAACGCCATGTCCAATCACCCACCATCCATACTACGGAACATCCCTGATATGATCGCTCGACGTGTCTCAAGCATATCTGCGACAGCGGCGTATTCGCTGATGCTGCCCCTACATATCGCAATGCATAATAATCTTTATTTCAGGATTACCCAAAGGCTAACGCCTATCTGGGGGATCTTCTATTTGTGTATGTACATGCATTAGCGGCCGGCGGATTACCTGCCAACATCAAGTACATTGACCCAACGCCACCTGCTGCAATGAACAACGGCAGCAAGAAAAAAAGAAAAAGGAAACGGAATGTGGTGTGGTTTAACCCGCCATACTCCAAGAGTGTCCGGACCAACATCGCCGGCACCTTCCTCCGGCTGATCGACAAGCATTTTCCTAAGGGGTCCAAAATGAACAAAATCTTCAACAGCTTCAACGTGAAGGTGAGCTACTCCTGTTTGCCGATTATGGCCCATATTATCAGTGGCCACAATAAGCGTCAATTGTGCGTCCAGGAACCGGACAAGCCGTGCAACTGCCGTCGCAAGGACCAGTGCCCTCTCAACGGAGCGTGCCAAGCAACCAGCATAGTCTACGCGGCGGAGGTGTCGAGTGATGGCCACAGCGATGGGCCCAAGACCTACATTGGCAGTACGGAGCCTCCATTCAAGCTTCGATACGGGAACCACAAGACATCCATCAAGCTTCCTGGATACCGCAAATCCACGGGCCTCTCAAAGCATGTGTGGGAATTGAAAGATAATGGCAAGACGCACGACATCAAGTGGCGAGTGGTTCAGAAGGCCAAGGCCTACAACAACATAACGAAAAGATGCAGCCTGTGCCTCGAGGAGAAGGCGAGAATAATCACTGCCGACAGGAGATCGAGCCTCAACAAGCGGTCGGAGTTGATATCCAAATGTCGACATCAAAAATTCAAAATACATTCATGCTATCAACACCGATAACATGATCTTCTCGGCACCCTGCTTCCAGGCAGTAGGGCCAGTTGATAGCTCTCTGCCGCCTAGCGCCTTGTCACCATCATCATCTTTGCACCGCGCATCTCACTAGCTGTACCAGCTCGGTTTTATCACCTTTATCACCTCACCTGTATCACCTTTCTTAGTACCGCGATCCTTACTGGCTATGACACTGAATCGGATATGAGTTGATAGCGCCCCTAGCGCTTTCTGTTATCCTTGTCCCGCCATGCTGGGCTTTAAATAGTGGGTTATTTTTCTTGATGTTCATATCACCTGATGAGAGCCTGAGATGGCATGAAACTTTAAGTTGTGACTGATCAAGCCATCTGTTGTTCTGACTAGTGTGTCACGGCTCTACCTTCCCGGTATCGAGCTCTCTTGGATTTCTGCTGGAATTCACAACAGTGTGTATATAATTATACAAATGAATGGACTCCGCTCTCTGTGAGTATACAAATGTACATACATTGTTGGTTGACAGCATGTTACAAGGCGGAGGACCACTGTGTTTGGAAACAGTGACCTTACTACAACCATCCACGGTTGGCAGAGCCCCAGTCTTGCGACCATTTGAACCGGCTCTGCCAACCGTGGATGGTTGTTGTAAGCATTGAGCAGTGATGCTATGATATTAAGCATAGGAACCCGCTCATTTTGAGTTGCGATATCAGCAACTTTCGAGCTTTTCTGAAATATGGATGCTTTTTCAGCAACTTTCGCTTGTTTTGGCATGGTTGCGAAAAGCATAAGTTGCGAAATATTTTGGCATCTTTGGCCTTTGGGAAAGGGCTAATAAGGAGACCACTTGGCTACAAAGACCACATTTTCAAGGTGCATTGAGCGGTCGTCTTACATGTTTCACTGTACATGTATATGTTTTCTTGAGAAATCTAGCATACATGTATTATTGCAAAATATGGGATTTTGTGAGAATTCACAATGCCATCGTGACTACTACCGCGCCTTTGCCTGCTGAGTAGCCCTTTCCCAATGATGCCCACCCCTTTTCCCGCAACTTTTTGTTGTTTTGGAACTTCGGAAATAGCGGCCCATCATCAGGGTAATGGATGACAAAATATCCATTGCATACCGGTCCATTGCATACCGCGTACCGGTAGGTACTTTACAGAACTACATGTCATGTATGATCAACAATTAATGCCACTGGGAAAGTTAACATCTTGGTGTGAATATGTTAGGTGAAGAATAGGAACTTGGGAAGGAAGTGTAGGTGGTGTATGTCTCAGCAGTGAGGTGTGTGTTTGTGTTGGGGGGCCGGGGGGGGGGGGGGGCACGACACTCAACAGGCCTTCCTCGTCGTTCTTCTTCTTCTGGTACACTTCTCTTGGGCACTCAGGGCAAGAGAGCGATGACGACACCAACAAATCCTTTAGCAGACGACCAGATTGGAATATTACACGATGTTTTTACTGAACAAACGTACTGTACGGCGAACATTACGAGCCAAACGGTCATTCACGAATAGTGCACTGAGGATGGCTGTGGGTGTGTGCTGTCGGCGTGGTCGACGTGGGTTGCTGGCATTGAGTTTGGCTGTGCTAATGGCGTGCTCAGTGTGGGTAGTTGTTGTCGGCTAGCAGCTGTTCTATTTTCTTCTCTCCCCTTGCTTTGCCGGCATTTCTTGAGGAGTTTCTTAATTGCTCCTGAGCGACTGACGTCTTCACCTGCAACGGTAATGATGGCGTGTATGACAGATGCACACCACTATGACTGGGCTTGACAAACACCTCCCACTCCGCAATACCATTGCAAACACTGAAACAGATACGGACAAGTCCAGGTAGCTGATGGTGTGTGTGTGTGTGTGTCGTCCTGCTGTGTGTGCTTAACAGTGAACTTGATGTCCTGATGCCTCCTGCTCATAAACTGAACGAACTCCATTAACCAGACGAGACCATGACACCATACCACTACACAATCGTCAATGTACCTTCGATACAGATGAGGTTTCCATGGGAAAACCGACAATGCCTCTGATTCCAACCTGGACTTGAATATGATCGCCATCGAGGGTGCCAAGTGGTTGCCCGAGAAAATATGCCAGACCCACAAGGACTCGAACCTGGTTAGGGTCTTTTCTCTTTTCAGACAGTTCACTTCTCCGACTGATCCTTTGAAGTTCTCCCAATCCTACGTGACAACCATTCGTAAGAGCTTACCAGGGAAGTGCGAAGGATGTCGCAAGGATTCCCGTTGCTATCCTAAGATTGCACTTGTAACATCCTTCGCACTTCCCTGGAAAGCTCTTTACGATCGTACGAATGGTTGTCACGCACTTGTTATCACTATTTTGCACGCTTTAACCGTAAACCCAAGACGGAAGTGTATATTATGTACATGTACATGTATTATATCCTACTGCTGGTTATCTATTTTCTGTCAGTCACGAGATTCCAATCACTGCATTGATAAATGTGACAAGAAAACGTTCTGGAACTAAACCTTTGCTACACTTAGCACTTTGTTGCTTGACATGAGCGCGAGTTTAATTATTTTGTTCATAGCTATTTTGCGAATACTAGTATTCATTAGCTGAGCATGTGAGGTTGCGCTCAACGAAAATTGGTAGCACCGTAATGAAATTTTGTAACGAAAAAAGCTAACGAATATTCGTAAACCGTGGTAGCCCTTGCAGCTTGGCGGATTATGCTGGCATAATTTCTGGCATAATCTTCGGATCTTGTCTAAAAATTATGCCCTGGCGTAAAAGGACATCTGACTTCTGAGACCAGACGGTCAGCATAACCTTCCGATGCTGGCTGAAGATTAATGCTCCAGGCATACTAATTATTTTAGGCATGTTACAGGAAAAACCTGGTGAATGTTACCCCTTATAAGCCGTGCTGTCAGCCTGGCATGGTGCCAGAGTCGTTGTGACGTTGTAAAGACTTGCATACTCACTGGGCATAATGAAAAGCATAGCAATTTACCCAGCATGATCCGCCAAAGGCTGTTTGTACTGAGCTCACCATACCAATTACCATTAGATTGGACCACATAATAGCACTATTATGGTGTAGAAAAAATGTACATGCATCTGCTCTGTTTCGCGGTCGCGTTTGGACGGCCCGAATGATGAATCGTCGTAGCAACTTTCGTTACTCGAACCCGGACGGTCAAAATCTTACGAATCTTCGTTGTGCGCAGCCTAACCAGCTCTCTACTCGTACATGATGTACATCTAGTACTGACTCTGCTTTATGACATGACATGTCTGTATCCATGGTCACCGCCGGACTTTCAAAGAATGACTATGACTGTCGTTACGCCAGCAAACCAGTCAGCGCGAGCGGATAAGAAGCCAGAATACCACAATGCAGCACTAGTGGAGTAGTGCACTGCAGCACCACCAGCTGACATGGTTGAAAGCACTTGCAAAGACAAGAGTGCTAGGACTAAATGGGCGTTCAGGCTCTACACGTAAAATAACGCCGTCGAGCCTTTATATTGGAGTGGATATTCTCCTCCTTTTCAGTCTTCCTTGAGGAAACGGCACTCTCTCGTCGACGGTCATTTAGTGACGGTTCTGCCTAACCGAGGGTGAATCGTGCCTCGGCGTCAGGCCCATTAGTATTGCGGGACGCTGCCGCACGATCCGATTGCAAACCTAAAAGCATAGCAAGCAAAGCACTCGTCAAAATGGCAGAGGACGTACCTTCAGTGCTGGAAGGCAAGCGATTTACAGTGATCCTGCTACTCAGTCAAGCTATCATGATATTGTTGTTTGGCATGTTCGTGGACTATGCACCCGGCGAGTCTAAACCATTGAGCAACACTTCACTCAACGCTCCGGATGCCGCTCAAAACACGGTGGAGACATTCTATCCTATGTGGATGGACGTTCATGGAATGATGTTCATTGGGTTCGGATTTCTCATGGCCTTCTTGGCACGGTACGGATATAGCAGCATCGGTCTGAATTTCCTCGTCGGCTCATTCGTCCTCCAGTGGGCAACGCTAGTGCTGGGATTCTTTCACATGGAAGGTGAATACACTACCAACATCCAATTGACCATTACCAACATGCTGACAGCGGATTTCGCTGCAGCAGCTGTGATGATAACATTCGGCGCTGTGCTCGGCAAAGTGTCTGCATTGCAACTCCTCGTGATAGCCTTCTTTGAAATCCTCATCTTTGCTACCAACGAAATGATCGGTGTGGAGCACTTCAAAGCTGTTGACATTGGCGGCTCTATGTTTGTGCACACATTCGGCGCCTACTTTGGTCTGGCGCTGTCACGCGTCCTAGCATCGAAAACACGTGAAGCTCGGCATGGCGGGCAAGAAACCAAGGAAGGCGCTATCTATCATTCTGATCTATTTGCAATGATTGGTAAGTGGTGATTACACCGATGTATAAACATACCTCTGGTATCCCGGCATCCCAGTGATCACGATACAGACAGACATTATAGTGGGGGCAACTAAACATCCGACCCGGCCTGATTTTCACGGTGCTAGAGTGCAGCACCGATTCTAATGGTCTCTATTAGTGCGTAGTGTTACAAGAGCGTGCTGGGACTTTGCAATGCGAGCACACCGAGTTAGGGTCGGATTTCAGTTGCAAGCCAGTACTGTACATGTATGACACAGGTCAAGGTACAGGCATGCACATGACACTGCAGGGGCGTAGGAGGGGGTTTTGGAAGTGGTACGACCGAAGGTCGGCGCGGCCAAAGGCCCTTTTGGAGGGGGGTTGGGGGACCTTTCCCGGGAAAATTTTGTAAAGAAAGACACAAAATCCTGCGTTCTGGGAACTTCTGGCACAGTTTATAAAGTCATAATGTCACGGTCAGAAGAGACGTGCATGGACATGCACAGATCATGATGCATGGCAGATCTACGAGTACGAGTCTAGAAAAAGGTCAAAGTCTGATGCGCATATGCGCATACATGTATGCATCGATGGATCCTGATTTTTTTTATTATGGTTTTGCACGTTCCGGACGGACCACACTTTTCGAAAAGTGGTACGGCCATGGTCGTACCAGTCGTAGCGGGTGCTACACCCCTGCACTGGTCAAGGTACCTGGGCATACACATGACACTGTCTACATGGTGTAGCAGAGTAGTACTGTAGTACAAGGCAGCAGGATACCCGTCACATCGGCAGGCGGCCCCACCGGCGATAGTCAAGCAAGTACAGCCTGTGCGGTTGCCTACTTTGCAGGTACAGAATCATGGCCTGCAGGTACAGAATCATGGCCTGCAGGTACAGAATCATGGCCTAGAGTGTACAGAATCATGGCCTAGAGTGTAATTGCATGCTTCCTCTCAAACAACTGCTGGCCACCCAGCTCCGAGGCCGCTGACAATTGATTTTATTCCCGTAGCTATGCAGAAGACGTTACTTCAGTAACGTCTGGCGCTAGCCAGGGTCCACACAGCTTTAATTTGGTGTTTGTTTGTGTGTTTGTTTGTTTGTGTCACGCCTGGCGCTATCCGTATCTGACGGCAAAAAAGCATAGGATGTTATAAATTTTTCAATTCTCCTTTTTTCCAGGCATATCCTGGGATTCGAACCCGCACTATCGCCCTACATGCATTCCCCCATACACTTCGCATTCATACCCATTCTTCCAAGTTGCGTTACGTTATTATCTTGCGTTTGAAAGCCCTATTTGAATATTGCGGGAAGCTGTATGTGGCCAGCTGTGTTTGATGGTACGGTACGGTACGGGAGACGGTGTCGTATTACCCTCGATCGTACCTGTCCCGTCCCTATCCCCTACCGTACCGTGCCATCAAAGACGGCTGGCCACAATGCATATAACTCAAATAGGGCTTTCAAATGCAAGATCACAATGTGAAACAACTTGGAAGAATTAGTATGTATGCGAAGTGCATCGGGGGATGAATGCAGGGCGCGCGATAGTGCGGGTTCGAATCCCAGGTTATGTCTAAAAAAAAGGAATTTTTTAAAGAATTTATAACATCCCTATGCTTTTTTTTTGTCTAGGTCATCAAGGCAAAAAAGCATAGCGTAGGGCCCTGAGCTTCCAAGCTCTCTCGTTAGTCAGGCGTGATACTTTCCTGACTAATGTGTCAATGCAGTTTGTGGATAATCATTATAGTATACTTACATGTACATCGGCATACCCTACCTCCTGGACGAGGTGGGCCAGACTAGACAGGGTTGCGATTGCACACTTGAATCCTCCCCCCCCCCCCCCACCCCTCCTTCTTTCAAGAGCATGCTGCCAAAACTCCTGATCTGCCCGGCTGCGTGGTGTCTGTGTAAGTACTAACTGTGTTTATCTTGGCCTTTTAGGAACAATAATTCTTTGGATCTACTGGCCAAGTTTCAATGCCGCCCTGGGTAGTGGTGATCAGAGACACCGTGCAGTCATCAACACATACTATGCTCTGGCTGCCTGTGCCACTACCACTTTTGCAATATCCAGTCTCTTCAGCAAAGACGGACGATTTGATATGGTAAGTGTCCTGTTACCAATGTGATCATCTCCGCCACCATCCATACACACACCATGTACACACACCGTGTACCACACACACACGTACACACACACACACGCATACACACACACACCATGTACCACACACACACACACACACACACACACACCACACATACACACACACACACACACACACACACACACAAACCTTCGTAAAAGGCCACTGTGTGGTGTATCCGCCATCTGTCAGCAGTGACTAGCAGTTTGATGTGTAGATTTAACAGCCAAATGTTCAGTTGGATTGTCCTGCATGTGTGTGTGTGTGTGTGTGTGTGTGTGTGTGTGTGTGTGTGTGTGTGCGTGCGTGCGCGCGCATGCGTGTGTGCGTGTGTTTCTGGTTCAGGTTCATGTGCAAAATGCCACTCTAGCTGGAGGTGTTGCAGTAGGAGCATCGGCAGACTTCCTCATCGAACCATGGGGTGCCATGTTCCTGGGAGTGTTTGCTGCAGTCTTGAGTGTCCTTGGCTACACGTTTCTACAGCCGTATCTACAGAAATACTGGCACATACACGATACCTGTGGCGTACACAACCTGCATGGTATGCCAGGAATACTGGGTGGTCTGGGCGGTATAGTTGCCACAGCAACACTATCCACTAGCAAGTATGGCAACAGGTAGGTTGTTCAGCTCAGTACACACTATAGATAGTACAATACAGTCCGTACTAGTGACTTAGTAGCAATAACAAAGAGGATGGCATAGACCAGCAGTGTGTGCAACTCAATCAGTGGTGGCCCACTGGTGGGGAAAGCGTGATTGCTTCAAAGTACCAGTCGTTTACTTTGACGTCACTCTGCAAAAAAATGATGTACCGGTAGTAGATTGCATTGATGCGCCACAGTGCAGCAGAAGAATCACAGTGGTGGGCCATGGGGTGACATAAACAATGAATTTTGTTGTCCTGAACCAGTATGCAGAGTTGTGTACTCTGCTTTATGTACTCTTGCAGTTGATAGCTCTAAGTGCATGCCTCCCATAACCCTACCAACTCACAGCTACCTACTGTTACGTATATCCAGAAATCCTCACTACTAGCAATTATTATATTTTGATGTTTTATACTTCTTTTGTGAAGTAAGAGCAATGAAGAGTATGATGGATGCAGACTCCACAGCAATTATCCACTTGCCGTAACGATTTCCCATTTTGTTGTTGTCTTGTATGCTCTAATCATGTATTGCTGTCGTTTGTGCTGCTTCTGCCCCTGCTACACTCCACACAGTCTCTATCAAGTCTATCCAGCGATGGCCCCGGAGGAAGCGAATGATGCTGAGCTACTCCGACTGACAAGTCTTGGCTACACATACGAAACTGGTGATGGCCGCAGTAGCTCAACACAATCACTGTACCAGCTGGCCACACTTGCTGTGACCATCTGCATGGCTCTAGCTGGAGGCACACTAACAGGCTACATCGTGCGCCTGCAGTTTTTCCAGCCAGTCAACGACAGAAACAGCACCTTGTTCGAGGATGCTTTGCACTGGGAGGTCAATGACATGGACCTCAAGGAGATAGTCGAGATACCCATGCCCGCAGCTGGGATGGAAGACGGTGCAAGCAGCGGCTCCACAGAACAATTGCATCAACGTGCAGCTGCCACAGCCACTGTCATCGCACGTAGTGGACATTCATCACCTGTAAATGATCAAAGTGTTTGAAGAACGTCAATTGCTAAGTGGACCACATCAACAATTTCTAGCTTAATTCTCACCTGAAGTGCGAAGGAAACGGTAAAGGTGCCTTTCCTGAGACACATACCAGCAGCTTGAACCCGGAGTCGGAGCTTGTCAATTACGGCATCAACTTGCAGACTTCCCCTTTCTTAGCTACCAGCAAGTTGTGATCACTCAGCCCAAGAAAACACCCATTTGAAAGTAGAGGTACTTTGTGATAGTACCAATTCCCATTCCACCACCATATGCACAACACTAGTAATGTGCGCTGCACACGCGCAGCAATTACATGCCATCACTTAATCGACAAAATCATTCTTGATGAGGGAATTGTACTCGGTACATGTATCAGGTTTTAGCAATGGTAGCAATGTTACATCATTCAAACACTCTGTTGGGTTTTTCGGATATTGGAGCACTTTGTGTGCTTTTGCAATACGGTCGACTCCACTTATTTCAACACGGATGCAATGAGTTTCGTGACACAGCATTGTTCATGTCCCTGTTCTAACCCATACAGAATTATTGTTTGTATAAACAAATCATAATCTTGTTGGGAACATGTAAAAAACAAGTGCATTCGTGAAGTTACGAGCAGCATGCCATATAGACAGAATTTATAGTGTAACTTTACTAGTTAGGGGTACTAGTACTACTACTCCCGCACATTGGTGTTTGTTACATCCAGAGTAGACCGTATTTTTTACTTAGTTGCCATGCCGACCAGGCACTGGCAGTTTGTAACCCTTAGAAAAATAGAATAGAAATCGAGCCGGTGTGTGTGTGTGTTCGTTGTAGCCTTGCTTATAAGGCCACACGTTTCTATTTCTATGTTTCTCGTCACCCGAAAATCTAAAATCGTATGCGAGAGGTTGAAAAAAATGACCGAAAAATATAAAAAAAAGTTTACTACAGTCCATTCATCGGAAACTGGCCCGCTGGCTTTTGAAAGTCGGATTTGGGCCGAATTGATGATCAAAAACCCACTTTAAATCTCAAAAATCTGGGTTTTGGATCTGCTTCTCCATACATTTTGCCATGGCATACCTGTCCTAATTTTGTAAAACCCGGCTGAATTTCTATTTCCCTGTTCTTGGACTTTTCTGGCCTCAAATGTGGCAAGGAGTAATTGCACGGGTCACACAATGCAGGATGTACTGTTGTTTTCGCGATATCTACAACTATGACAGAGACACCAACAAGTTAGGGTGCCAGTTTCCAATGAATGGACTGTAGACCTTTGGTCATACTAAAATCGACCAATACGCTGTGTAAAATAGCATCCAAAGTTAGCAACTACAGTAAGATCGGGCGCCGAAGAACGCAGGGGCTCGAGTGCAGCCTAGGAAAGTTCTTAAATTTTTGATTCTAGCCAGACCGTTCTTATTCACACGCGCGCGGCGAGTCGAGTGACGGCATGACGTTTGTCATGTACATGTACATGTACATGTAGTGCAATATAGTACTTCTAAACTAGTGGGTGTCGTAAATGGGAATGACTGTACATGTAGCAGTTACTGTTTACACGTGTACATGACATGTACTCACCTCCCATACATGTACAATGTAGATCTACGTGTAAATTTTTAAAAGTGTTCTTAAATCTGATAATTCTAGCGTGGACTGTTTTTAAATTTTGCCGGTTTTCCAGCCTGGGTGTTCTTCGGCGCCCGATCTTACTGTAGTACGTGCTAGGAGCTTCTGTCACAATCTGTGCATGTGCAGCTAGATTGTGCAACAAAAACTGCCGACCTCGCATCATGTGTCGCGCTGGCCAGGGTGCACATGTGCTGGTCCCCACAATGCAGCACAGTTTTTTTTCTTCTTCCAGGCTCCTGAATCGTATGCGCGGGTGACGAGAAATATAGAAATAAAAAGGTGTGGCCTAATAATGGGCCAGAGACAACACAGGCTACATTACTGCCAGAGACAACACAGGCTGCATTACTGCCAGAGAACAACATAACGTTACACAAAGCAAAGCAGCACAACAACATGACATGGTTGAGCACAACAACATGACATGGTTGAGCACAACAACATGACATGCTTGAGCACAACAACATAACATGGTTGAGCACAACAACATGACATGGTTGAGCACAACAACATGACATGGTTGAGCACAAGGAAAAACGTTGCCTGTTCTGACCATAGCCGCTACAACAAACAAAAGTCACACTGTGCCAACTGCGAGAAGATCATGCAATGCTGCTCTGGACGGTACTTTGCAGCACGACAGTGTACTAGCAGTTGCAGTTGTCTCTGCAAACCAGAACTATGCCATAAATCGCTGGCAACTAGGAAATTGTTCTTTTTAAAAAGAAAAAAAGGAAAAGAAAGAAAGATAGTCCGAAAGCACAATGTATGGTGAGTAGGCAAGAGCAACAATACTGTGCCGCACAGGTGCCCGGCTGGTGGGCTGACTCAAGCACAGGTGCCCGGCTGGTGGGCTGGCTCAAGCACAGGTGCCCGGCTGGTGGGCTGGCTCAAGCACAGGTGCCTGGCTGGTGGGCTGGCTCAAGCAGGTGCCCGGCTGGTGGGCTGACTCAAGCACAGGTGCCCGGCTGGTGGGCTGGCTCAAGCACAGGTGCCTGGCTGGTGGGCTGACTCAAGCACAGGTGCCCGGCTGGTGGGCTGGCTCAAGCATGTACTATAGTACAGTGTATGTGTTTCATGGTGAGGAATGTGCTCAATAAAAAAAAACCCATAATCGACCAAACTGATCTTGGAGTCAAAATTGACACAAGTATGCAGTGAAGGCTGTGAATAGTCACTGCCATACCTATGAAAGAAGTTGCACTAGTTGAGGCCAAGTGCACGATGGTCTATCGCTGGAGTCCTACACAATACCACAAACACGGACATATTGGCACGCATGCATGCACAGACAGACAGGCAGGCACACACAATTACAATATACTCAGAATATACATTGTAGACAAGCACATTGTCCAAGCAGTGAAAGCGTCCACACACTGCTGCATGTGGACAAGTGCAACTCTACATGTACACCGAATACAACTACTTCCAAGTACAGTCAAACCTGTCTAAGGCGACCCCTCAAGGGACGAGAAAAAGTGGTCGCCGTGGCCAGGTGGTCTTCTTATCCAGGTTCAGTGGGTCACGTGACCATATCCACATGTGATACATCATTTTCATCAGTGCATCACAGTGCACACACCTATGCTACTCTAGCACGACTCATGTGACTGGGGTCCTCAGACCTGTCAAATGTCGTACATGCACCACGTACATCTACACTTCCTGCACTGATGTGTAGATCTACCATGCCTGGTGCACCATGCAATGCGTGCATTTACATGACTAGCACTGTGCAACGCGGTCGCGGGTGGGTGGTCGTCGGTCTCGTTGAGCGAGTGGTCGCCTTATCCGAGGTGTTTTGAATGTGAATGCGTCCGTGACAAGGAAAAGTGGTCGCCATGGTCGAGTGGTCGCCATATCCGAGTGGTCGCCATATCCGAGTGGTCGCCATATCCGAGTGGTCGCCATATCCGAGTGGTCGCCATATCCGAGTGGTCGCCATATCCGAGTGGTCGCCATATCCGAGTGGTCGCCATATCCGAGTGGTCGCCATATCCGAGTGGTCGCCATATCCGAGGGGTCGCCATATCCGAGTGGTCGCCATATCCGAGTGGTCGCCATATCCGAGTGGTCGCCATATCCGAGTGGTCGCCATATCCGAGTGGTCGCCATATCCGAGTGGTCGCCATATCCGAGTGGTCGCCATATCCGAGTGGTCGCCATATCCGAGTGGTCGCCATATCCGAGTGGTCGCCATATCCGAGTGGTCGCCATGGTTGAGTGGTCGCCATTACAGGTTTTACTGTACAGTCAAACCTCTTTAGGACCAACACACTGGCAACACTGGCAACACTGGCAACACTGGCGGCACTGGCAGCACTGGCGGCACTGGCAGCACTGGCAACACTGGCAACACTGGCAACACTGGCAAACTTTCCCTTAGTACGAACGAGGGCCAACCCAATGGTTGGCCACGCATCAAATCAAGTCAAAATTATTTGTTTACGACGAACTCCTGTACGACTCACACGGCGAACTTTGTGAAGACGAACTATTTTCAAGCGCGTGGCTTCCCTCACCTAATGTTGAAGTCTGTATATCTATATGCATAGATTATAGACCGACTACGAGGTCTAAAAATCTACTTATCGTCTCCTCCACACAATATTTTTTTTATTCGACATAACAATGCCCTTTCAATTTTAGATACCCACAGTGCAATTTCTATTGCCGAGAAGGGAAATTCCCGGCTTGAACAGGAAGCTGTAGTTTCGATCAGTACAGTACAGTCTGTATCGGCTATAGCGTACCCTTTTGATTTCCGTGATTTTATCACTATAACCGATGCATCACTATATGCGATACGATCGATTTTTTCCTTTTTTCGATCGACACATGAAAGGCAAGGAAATACTTCCAGCTAGCATGGCGTTTTGACAAATGAGCATGCTGCATAGTTGACAGTGCCCGCATTTCCATAAAAGAATTCTGTTATGTACATGTACATGTATCACTATAAAAATAAGCAACGTGAAGAAAGTAAAAAAAAGGGCCTTTGATATTATTGCTACATGTATTTTAAAGTTATCACTATAGCCGATAATAATATAGTGTGTTATGCATGTTTTGATTCTTTGTTGCCATCATAATATCCGATATATCATAACATCCGATAATATTGGTTATAGTGATATTTGTACTGGACAAAATACGTTTTGCTTTTGATATTTCGTACCAATATCACTGTAGCCGATATATTCTTATATCCGGTCACTCTATAGCCGATACAGACTGTACTTGAGCTCATGCATTCATGGGGAAGTCCCCGTACGCTTACGCCCTTGCGCTTCTGCCATGTCCATCTTTTTTGACCTAATTTGGTATGCGCACCATGTGCTCATCCTTTATTTCAGCGTGGCAACTCGAGAACGGTTTGGAACTTCTTCTGAGTCTGAAAGAAGACAAATCGTGCAGGATGCAGTTCCCAAGATACGAAGAGGTCAACTGGCATTTGGGTAACTGTGTTCAATGCCTATTGTGGCGATCCTATCGATGTTTCAACAGTTTCAGAAGAAACTCTGGCCAAGAAACTGAACGATTCTATGCTGATGCTCGAAAACAGGACGGGGCGAGCTGCAAACGGGGCAAGCTTGATTTCGGCGGGAGGTGCCCTGCAACGTCATGTTACCAGTGCAGGTAGAACGTTTAATATTGCAACATGTCCTTGTTTCAAGAGGGCAAACTCAGTGCTCAGTGGTGTGCTGAAGATGAACAAAAGCGACGGAAAGGAGGACACAGTAGTCCACAAAGAAGCGCTGACTACTAAAGACAGGGATCGTCTTCAGACTTACTTCAAGGACGTGCAAACGTCTCATGACCCTGCTCTGTTAGCAAGGTACATGTACAGCACTTCCTTCTAAAACGTTTTGCAACCTTAAGACGTAAACAATTACACTGAAAAAAACGGTTGTGTTTCTTGGTTTGATTCGTCGAGGATTAACTGTGGTGTGTTTCTATGGCGTGTATTTGTTCGCTTTGTAGGTATGTCTGGTTCACGGTTACATGTACTTCACAGTATGGTCTGCGTGGTCGAGAAGTCCAGGCCCAAAAGTGCAAATCTGACTTCATGTTCCAAACCGATGCTTGCGACATGCCGTATATAACTCTGTCCAACGATGTTGCGTCCAAGAATCATCAGCGTGGGCTGGATGGTTCTGCTTTCACCTCGGCAGGGCGTATTCAAGACGAAACACAAGTGAAGGTCATTCAACGCTATCTGAAGGTAATCCACCCGAATTGTGATCGGCTTTTCCAGAGAGCCAACCTATCAAGATCCGGCACCGATAAGATATGCTCATTCATGTATGTGCCCCTCCCTCACAATTTGCTTGGCACCATGATGGCTAAGATTAGTGGAGCTGCTTCTTTATCTCTCACATAAACTAATCACTGTGTTAGAGCCACTGCTATTTGCCGTACGAAAGCAAACAATGTAGACGACCGCAAAATTTGCTCCGTTTCTGGCCACAGAAGCACATCATCATTGCAATCCTATGACCGTGTTTCAAATTCTGGTGCTAAGGCAATGTCAAGTGCGATTTCTGGTAGTAGTGTTGCTTCGGGCAAAGCAGAGTGCCCTGCTGAATCTTCGCCACTGGCTGCTTCTAGTCCAGAACCAAAACAAGATGCAGACCTTCCTTGTGTAGATGACAAGAAACCGCAGGCTGGCTTTCTTTTGAAATACTGTCAGAAAATTACTTTCGATGTTCAAAATTCTTGGTTGCAACCAAGAAAGCGCTCATATCCATTTTCTTTGAAGCTTAACAAGAAGGCTAGGCAGTGACTTTTCTGCCATTGCTAGCTCTTTTCTTTGCCTAGCTCATATTTCCTCATTCTTTCAATAACTTCCTAAAAAGGAGTCAAATAAAGCAGTCAAGTATGAATCAAATATAATCCATATTCGATTGCTCAGTCAAATATGCATGCACTATATTTGACTGCTTAGGTATCAGGGAAATCAGTGGGGTCAATACTAAGAAGGCGATAAGAGAGGCTAGATCCATAGAGAACGAAGAAGAGGTTCGCTGGCATTTTTCATGCGACTGGATAAAGTTTTAAAAGACATTTTACCGCCGATGCAATTGGTGTGAGATCGCTGAACAGTTCTTCAAAAGTGCGATAACAGGGCACAAAACTGACAGGCTACTGAGACATTCAATGACCCAAGCTAGAAGGCTGTTGGTTTGCGCACTGGAGATGTGTTAGAGCTAGGTCTCGGGTCGTTGAATGTCTCAGTAGCCTGTCAATTTTGTGCCCTGTTATCGCACTTTCTGACCATTTATCATCTTGTCACAGTCACGTATAGTTGCTTCAGCCTGCTCGTTTCCATGTGATTTCTTCTATTTTAGTTCTTCAATTGGGTGTTGTTGGCAAGCTTTGTTGCTTTACACTTTTTAGTTTACAGCAATCGCTAAATTCGTTCTAGGCGATACCGCTGCCCTCAATGGCTCAACAGGTCATGGATGCCTACAGATGGCAGAAGTGGTGATACGGAGTTGAAAATAAATACTGTAATTTCACAAATTTTCGGTGTACTTTTATTTTCGGTACTTTCGGTGAATCTGTTTCATACCTAAATTTTCAATACACCGAACAAACACTAACACACATAATCCAATAGGGAACTGCTTCTCTGTACCGAAAATTTCTGTTCACCTAACCAGGCCTTTTGCCCTTATACCGAAAATATTGAGCACCGAAAATTTCTGAAATTAGAGTACTTGAAAGGCTTCTTCTCCTGAGCTGCAAATAAATAATTAGGGCTGAAACGATCGTGGATTTTCACCTATCGATTACTCTTGAGCTTAACGGTCGATTTATCGATTATAATCGTTAGCAGAGAGTGTCAGAATTTTGTGCAAACATTGCTCTGTTTCCGAAATCTAAGCCATCATAATACCACAAATTTGCATTAGTGACAGGATAGCTCAGAAACATGGTAGTTATAAATTCAATTTAACCTCAGAATGTGCACCATGCCCCTGGCAACTGCATACTCACAGTGGAAACTGATTCAAACTTCACAAAAACGAGGGTTTTCAGTACTTTTTGGACTCAAAATCCCTAACGAGTAATCTATAACGTAACGATTACTTGATTGATAAGGAATTATCGATCGATTACCGAGTAATTGGTATAATCGTTTCAGCCCAATAAATAATACATGTAAATCAATTTCAAGGCCTGCATCAAATTCCGGCAGACTACGTTTTCCGCATTCGCAGGAACACCACCACCCTCAAGGATGAAGGCGCAGATGCAGCTCCTAAGGCGGTGGGAGGTGAGTAGATCAGACCCACCACAAAGTGGTCAAAGACCAAAAATCCCTTTTGCTGCAACCATGTTACCTTCGTACCAGAGCTCCAAATAGCAATGAATCACATTACCATGTCACTTTGAAAGCATAAGGGTATGCTGCCGCCGTCCCCTGCCCCAACTAAACACACCTGTGACCAAAGATAAACTAGAAACTATCAAGAAAGTGCTCCTGAGCAGCCCCAGAAGGCAAATAATACAGTGAAAACCCCAAGAAGACTGCCAATCTGATCTTGTAGTTTGAAATACACTAACAGACGCTTGCGTACCTGTGTATGTTTCGGCTTCTGCACTGACAAATATTCCAACCCGGCCAGTTGTTGTGCCCACTTGTACAGCCTGCCAAGAGCACCAGCCTCAATTAAGCCAGGTATCTTGCTGCTGAATTTCTGTGCATAGCAAGCCGGTAGTAATCTTGGGCAAGCCAAGCCAGCATCATTATCATGGACATGCTCATCATGGCCATCGCCATCACCATGGTCACCAGCACCAGCCATAGTAGTAGTAATTCTATCCAGCAGTGATGTAGCATGGCCATCCATCATTGCCTTGCCACATAGTGATGATGATGATGATGATGATGCTGTGGACGGGAGAGTGTGATCAACACTAACAAGCATCATGGTGGGATGGTAGAAGAATTGCAACTGGACTGGTTCAGCAACACCTGAACAACACCATCAACAACAGCAGCAGCAGCAGCAATAATTATATATGTAGTGTTTCATGTGCACTGTGGAATCCTGATTCACGTACGTGTAACTTGAATATTGCATAATTCTAATACTTTGAGGCGATTTTATTTTTGCAATTTCAGATGGCAGGCATGGAAGTGACAGTTAAATCTGGAGAATGCGAGAATAGTGATTAACGGGATATCATGGGGTGTCACCGGATCCAGCCCAAATGGTTTGCTCGCACCTTTATAGTCTGCGCCTACTTCCCTATTGCGAAACTCGCACACACAAATTCCCACTTTCGTACTTTTCAGGACCGATTTCAGTCAATAATTATAACTCCATCATGAAGTTGTCTGATGAAAATTAAACCTCGCAGTGTGCACTTGTGCCTAAACAAGTGCCAGGAAATCGGTGGACATAGAAAAAGTGTAGGATTCCTGCTGAAGAGAAGAGCGGGATGAACACTGAAGTTGCAATGCAGCCAGCTCGGTCGCCTGACCTCAACAATGCAATATGGTGCTGTTCGCTAATCTACAAGCAAACGCGGAGCTTTCTGCCAAAGGCAACATCAAGCATTTGCTTGCCGCTGTACACGTAACTAGCTTGGGAGAAGTAACCGCGGCAAGGATGGCGTCGGTCTAGCTATGCTATACGTTTCGTACCAGGGGATTATCTCCACTGACGGTATTCTACAATTGGTATTCTCATCCACTGGTAGTGGAACAACATCCCATGCCTCCTCATCCAGGTGAATGGCCGAGATGCACGGTCGCCGCCAGTTACCCTTGTCAGCTGACCTAACTGCTCAGAAGAAGTTCAAGGATTTTGAGCACCCCTCCTGGACGGAGAAAACGGAAACAGGACTTGTAAGCGCGACTTCGAGCAGCAGCAGCAGCGACAGCAGCAGTGATAACTAAATCAACCTGACGGCGTGAGCTGAGAACACAGTTTGCAACTCAATGGTTCAACCATGCCAAAGACTCGAGTCGATTCGTATTGCACTTGCATATTATTCATATCTTACTTATAGTATTCTTCTAGAACTTCAGGTCAATCCAAAATCTGACTCTCCATTTCGATAAAAATAAGCGCACACTGCGGTGGCATGGAGGAAGTATAAATAGAAATAACGGTAATGCTGACTTCTAAAAATGAAAAACATAACTGACCTTTGGCTACAAGCGACACCACACACGAATACGGGTGCGCAGTCACGAAATCAATATCGTCGGCATCAGGCATCTCTGAACAAGTTGCTCTTGTCTGGCCAATCAAGCTTGCACCATTTGCCAGACTGCCAACTGCACAGTCCTTCTCAACACGTACGGACAGCAGACCTTGACTGGCGTTGTCACTGGACTGAGCCAGCTGCACTTGAGCTTTCTTCAAGATGACAAAGAGGGGCCTGTACAAGCCCAAAACAACAAATAACAAGACAAAGAGAAGATATGGGGAATGGGAGAAACTTCAAATTCTATGAAAACTGTGTGGGGTTGGTGTTGGGTTTTTTTTCTTCGTTTTCAGGCTTTCATTTCCCAGAAATTTTACAAAAAATGAAAAGAAGAAATCGTATTTCTATTGCCTAAGATTGTGTGATGGTATTGCACTAGACATGTACTATTTTTACGAAAAGAAAGAAAATGTTGATATTCTATGCCAAATGAACACGACGAGTACAACCACAACAAACGAATGACATCTTTGTACACTGGGCAAAAAGGGACTTTCGTACGGAATTATATTTTCGAGGAGTTGCAGGTATGGGCATGGGCCTTGGACGTATTGTAAGATTTCGCTCCGAAAAAAAAATAGAACACTGGACATGTTGGATGGAATTGTACAATATTTATCCACTGCATGTCTGTGTGTACTAGTAGAGCATACAGTGGCCTACTGATTCTATGAGCCAATAATATCACCAAACTTGAAACAGCTGCCTGAAGAACCAGTACCTGAATTGGAGAAATTTTGTTGCTGGTTTGTGAAAGTGGTTGGCCAGAGAGTACACTACACGCAGTGCTGCTGGTGGGAGTGTAACATCTTATTGAATACACAACTCACTACTCACTCTGGTAAGAGGTCGTCTCCGAAGACACGGTGATGTATGCTGTCTTGCAGTGGCTGTCCACCCGACCCTTCTGTTTTTCCACCATCGGCTCGAGCACCTTCAGCTGATGAAGTGTTGCCACTATCGACAGTACTGGTAGCTGTAGGTGTTGTTGATGATGAAGGTGAAGAAGATGATGGTGATTGTAAAGAATGCGAGGGAGGGCTTCTACTAAAACAGGTCTTCTTTTCAAATACTTTGGCAACCTGTGGCATCCATGTTGGAAACAAACCCATTCACACACACGCACGCACGCACCCGCGCCCACGCGCGCACACACACACACACACACACAATATGAAAGTCAACCAAGCGTGTTGGCATGTATCAATGGAGCCAGCGGAGGGGGAATCTTGGTGAAATCATTGAGTTGGTGCGATGGAGCTGAGTCTAACGCTGGGTGATTTTTTTCTCTTCGGCTGGCAAACGCTGTGTGCCTGCACAGATCATCTGACCTAGTGTTTAGACACTTTCAGCAAAGTTGCACATCATTTTCACACCTCGTGCACTTGATGTTTCCACAAGGTGAATTTTGAATTTGTAAAAACTGAATGCTGGCAGATTCTTTGATGACTTGTCTTCTTTAGCCATGTCCGTTCGTTTCTAGCGTGTGCCATGGACAAGGAGGATGGCGGAAGAGGTGTCTGCAATACCAGTGCAGCAGCAGCAGAAACATAGCACATAGCAATCTATACAAGCTCCCTTGATCCAACCTGGATGTAGGAATTAGCAATTGTTGGTGGTAGCTTGGCAAAGAAGGTGACCCACAGCACTTCCAAGCAGACAACCTCACAACTATCAGGTTCCACCTAGCAGCCTCCACAAATCAGGTGCTGGGACATAATGAAGTCGTCTTAAAGCCTGATATGCAACCAAATTCGTTCCATCAACGCTTTCGACCTGTTACATACACTGCTATACCTGTCACCAATCCTAACGATTCCCCACTAAACACGCACATTCAAAGGCCACCTTGTGTATCCAAGCTGGACGACGGCAGCACTCAGTTTACTCTACATATCAGGAAGACTATAAATCACCTCTAAAAGTTGCCGTAGCTCTGTAGAAACCGCTTCGTGCTGACGCTCACAAGAGCTGATCTCCTTGGAAACAGAAGAGACTTGTCTCTGCATGGACTTCAAGTCTTGAGCCAGCCTACAGACAAGGAGAGAGAGAGAGAGAGAGAGAGAGAGAGAGAGAGAGAGAGAGAGAGAGAGATAGAGATAGAGATAGAGAGAGAGAGAGAGAGAGAGAGAGAGAGAGAGAGAGAGAGAGAGAGAGAGAGAGAGAGAGAGAGAGAGAGAGAGAGAGAGAGAGAGAGAGAGAGAGAGAGAGAGAGAGAGAGAGAGAGAGAGAGAGACACACACACAGATAGACAGATGGGCAGACAGATAAAGAGAAACTATCAGTGCAGTTCTTACATACAGGTGAATAATGCACGCATCAACAGACAGTCTACAGAACTACTACATTATCTCACTGCACCTCACGGTATAATTATCACTGTGTACGCGTATATAGACATACGTATACATGCAGGTCCTCCATCGTTTAGAAGATAACCCTTTATGGACGGATTACTAGCACAGTATGCACCAGAATTACAAAATGTCAGTACAATTTTCAACTTTTCCATGTCATAACTTTGGTGTCCTTCACTTGATTTTCACAATCAAGGGCTCATTGGAAAGCTCTTGGCGAGAGCTACGTCAGGTTACCAATCTCCATTATCCGGCCACCACAAATCAGGCGCGGTAACACAGCAAAGTCGTCTCCAAGCCTGATATGCAAGCAAATTCGTCCCATCAACGCCATTCCACTCTCCTTCATCGCAGAACGCTCAAATCTGTTTGAGACGATTCAAACTTCAGCCGGCTACGTCATTATCATGTGCTCAGTCGCTCAAAGAGCACACGAAAAGGGATTTCCCCCCAAAATGGCGAAATGATCGATCAAAAATTTGAATTTGCCGAGGTAAGAATACGGCGTGCGATATCTCTGGCGTCCGACATTGTAACTCTTCGGCGATTGTTGCATTGGACAGCTTGGAGTTCCCGCTACCACGTAGACCCTTCGATTGTGGAATTTGCTCAAGAAACGATGGAGTTACGAAGTTTCGATCTTATTAGATCGAAACTCGCACAGTCCGTCCACAAAGGGATAATCTCCGGGCAAACACGTTATTTAATAGCAAAGCTTATTTAAAAAGTTATTTTGTAACAGAACATGCGACTAGAGATGCAAGAAGCACTGATTCACGGTCACTTCACACTCATAATTATGTGCTTCCTTCAATACAACATAAATTGTGGGTACATGTACTTCAACTTATTATTAGACGATTACAATCTCCAACATGGCTGTTCATTGGATCGTATACTTCTACAAATACACTGATATAACTGCTGCGTCACCAGAGACTTCGGCAATTTTCGGCCGGGCATTTTTGGCCTAAAATTTGTTGCGGCCGAAATTTTGTTTCTCAAGGTTCAGTGTGACTGTGTATACAGGCAGCAGCAGTACAGGCGGAATTTTTTATGCGGCCGAAATGTGTTTTAGCCCCGGGAGGCCGAAATTTGAAGGCCCCGAAAATGAGTCTACTTACAGTATGCTGTAGTGTGACCAGGAATCAATTGTACAGATCACGTTTTGCCAGGGGATTTCAGATTTCTATTTACTTACCAGGGTCATGTACAACCCGGACTTGTTAAGCCTAGTTCACATTCGACGGGGCACGACGGGACGCGACGTAAGGATCGACGGGAAGCGACGGGACGGTCTGACGGCGTCCAATGTGAACACCAGGAACGGGAACGCAACCGTACTACCGTACAGATCGGGAAGCGACGGGAAGAGTTGGATCGATCCAACTTTTCATACCGTAGACGGGCGTAGACGGGGCAATGTGAACACCAGGAACGGGAACGCAACCGTACTACCGTACAGATCGGGAAGCGACGGGAAGAGTTGGATCGATCCAACTTTTCATACCGTAGACGGGCGTAGACGGGGACGCAAGCGTACAAAACGGCTGCAATTCGAGTGTGAACAGGAGACGGCGTCGTGCGCCGACTACTCCCGATTCGTACTTGGATATTTTTAGCATTTCGAACACTGCGCTTCCTATGATAACTCACAGAATGGCTAGCACAACTTGAGTTGAATTTTAGCAACATAAGATCTCTTAAGAAAGGTTTGCTCCCCACACCGGAGCTCGCGCTCTTGTCACTTATTGTATTTAGAGATAGCTCAGAAGCGTGACAGACGAACTATTCTATCATTTCCTGGGGCTATTATTTGAATGCCAGAACTTTCAGGGCTAATTTTTAGATCTTCATGAAAAACTGGTATTGTGAACTTGATTCCGCTTCTTTCAAGGAGAAATAATTGAAAAGAAGTCCCGAAAAACGAGAAATTAGGTCCGAAAGTCACCCCGTCGCGGACCGTGCCTTATGACTCGCGCCGTTCGACGTTGAACGTCGCAACGGCTGCTGCATGTCGTGTCGTACGAATCGTACAGGATTTTACAGCTCACCCCAGCCCTCCCGAGAAGCCCTTACGTCCCGTACCGTCGGCGTTGCGTCGAATGTGAACTAGGCTTTATAAAGAGGAAGGACCTGGATTTTGAATGGGGGGGGGGGGGGTATGTGCGAGGAGCAGATGCTTGAACATCGGGAAGAGCACCGACAGCCAGAGAGACTAGTGTTTTCAAAGTTTTATGATAGCCAGAAATGTCGAGCTGGGCAGGTGAGTTCCAAGTGCTGCTCTCTCATCCAAAAATGGGTTGATTTAAACTCAGCAACATTTCATGCAGAAACATCATCCACAATAACCCTCTTCCATTTTATCACCAACCAGCTACTAATTCCCCAAATTAACCCTTATCCGACCGGCCAGTCAAAAATCGACGACTATCCGTCGATGATTTTAACAAGCTGTAACTCACTTATTTTGTATCAAATCTGCACCATTTTGCTCTCAAAAGAAGCTGGAAAGACCCACCATTCATTTGCAAAAGACCGGAGCATCTTAGCATCTTTCAAAGAGAAGTAATACGTCTCTGAGTGAGGTCTGTTTTCATACCGCGTACGAAACAAGTTTTCAAAGGGTGTAACTTTGGCAATGATTATATTGCCCTCCTAAACCTTTGCCTGGATGCTTCCCTGATGGTATATTCAAAATGTGTTAGCATGAAAGTACAAAATTAAGACTACAAATAGTCCACATGTCGGTGAGCCGTACTTCTCTTCAAAAATGGAATTGGAGATGGATTTATGTTCCTCTTACAAAAAGTTACAAATGAAGGCTAGAAACTGTTTCTAGAGAACTCCTCTGGTTCAAGCTTTCCAAAAAGCCCAAGTTTGCCAATATCACCCAAGGGAAACTAAAGTTATCAACAAAATGAGTCGCTGCGTCTCGCTTGGACTGAGAATTTGTCCACTTTGACGGTCGGATAAGGGTTAAAGCTGTTTCATCCCAAGATAGAATGTCAGCAGCATATCTCTTGCGGCCAAAACTGATGGAGGGGTACGGACCGATCTTGAAATCTATCTAATCCCATAAACCAATTGTACCCCCACCTCCACCCCCACCCTACCGCCCTCCCTCAGTGTCCTTGGTGGTTACTGCACAACATTGGATATAATAATAGATGGAGACAAACAGTGACAGCATGACAAGTCAATATCTTACTGGGCTCGATGCATTACTTCAAATTGAAGATGTGCGAGCTGTTTCATATGTTCATTTTCTCCAGCCTAGAAGGCACAAATGACAGATGGACAGCACCTCATTAAGCAAATACACACAGCAACAGCAGAGAGCACAATACTTCCTCCGTTAACAAAAACTTCGTGATGGATTTTGATGGATATGAAAACGCTTAGAACAGGTCAAGAACAGTTTGTATCGACTGCAAATCACTGGACGAAGGTGATTCAGCCTATGTACAGCGTCTTTACAAGAGAAACTGTTGGCGGAATGAGCAGAGAGGTTCAGTTTGGGTCGCTTTCGCTCGATTCATGTTTGACCTGCGTCGCTGTCGTCATCTGCTGCACGCGAGTCGTCATCTGCTGTACGCGAGTCGTCATCTGCTGTACGCGAGTCGTCATCTGCTGTACGCGAGTCGTCATCTCTCTCGAGTCGTCGTTCAGCTCGTTTCAGCCTTGCCTCGGCTTCTTTGATCATACTCCGCTGACCTTGATGTCGCCGTCGTTCAAGTAAGTTGGCTTTCAAGCTGCGTGATCCGCCGCGATGGCGATTTATCATTACTCGTTTCCACCAGGAGACGTGAAAAATATTTTACGACTCCTTGGTTTCATCTTCGCTCTCCTAACTCCGCGAAACGAGGAGTAAAGGCACAGCCAAACTGATTCCATTTTCTCTAATGGATACCCCTACCAGCACTGAGCGGCAGCGGCTAGCAAGTCCAGTCGACTTTCTTTAGCCACGAGACTCGCATCGGACTGCAGACTTCTGAAAGAATGCATGGTCATCAGCATTCGAATCTGGGCTTTGCGCAGGTTGAACAAGATATTGAGTTCAGAATTATTATGTTCATTGAACCGTGCGATCGGTGCAGCTCCTTGTTCACTCGCTCATTGTGTGGGCTCGCTGCTCCGTTTTATCGCTCTCTATCACTCTCCAATTTCTCAGTGCTAAAGTGATAGAGAGGCCAAGCAGCGCAATATCCCCTCGGAGAAGTGGTATTTCAGTTTCGCACGCCACTGACAGTGGCGTGACTGTCATCACCTATGTTTCCACAGCGCAACAATCGATTCCGCTCGGCTTGTTGTGAAAGGTCGCTTTCCTTGCATCGTACCTCTGTTATGGCATGCCAGGGAAGGCCAAGAAAGTGATTGCGACTCATTTCACGGCAGTTTGTGCCCAAATCAGCTCCTCAAAATTCCATCACGAAGTTTTTGTTAACGGAGGAAGTACGTGACAACTGCCATCTAAGTATATGGAATTTGGCATAGCTAATGACTCCCTGCGGAGTATTAAATGAACTTCTTGGTGAAATTTTACAGGTATTTTAAAATGCACAGTCTGCACAGTCGACACGCACGTATGCAGGTATGCAGGTATGCAGGCATGCAGGCATGCAGGCATGCAGGTATGCAGGCATGCAGGCATGCAGGTATGCAGGCATGCAGGTACGCAGGCATGCAGGCATGCAGGCATGCAGGTATGCAGGCATGCAGGCATGCAGGCATGCAGGCATGCAGGCATGCAGGTATGCAGGTATGCAACAAGCGCAGAACACACAGTTTGCTAGTCGTATCAGGGATGAAAAGGCCTGTCGACCTGCAGTTAGCCAGGATCGGTTACCTGGAGTGCACAGAATCCGCGAGAAGCAGGTCAGTCCGTAGGGAGCAGGCGCTTTGACCCAGAGTGCACAGTGTGTGTGTGAGTGTGTGTGTATGCGCGCGTGTGTGTGGGTGTGCGCGCACGCGTGTGTGAGCGTGTGTGTGTGTGTGTGTGTGTGTGTGTGTGTGCATGCGTGTATGCGCATGTGCGCATGTGTGTGTGTGTGTGTGTGTATGTGTGTGTGTGTGTGTGTGTGTGTGTGTGTGTGTACCAAATGAAAAGAGTGTGTATGACCTACAGGCAATGACAATTCATAACAATCTGCAAAGTCAGACTTAACCCTTTAAGAGCCGCCCCATACTTGAATGCGTCGTAAACGACGCATTCAAATGCAAAACTTCAAAAGATCGTAACTCAGTCTAATCTCGCTCAAATCCATCGATCGAAATATCCAGGGCGAAAAGAAAACTCTCACCTGTCGGGAGAAACAATCTGCGAAGCGCTGCGAGCAACGGTTCCCGAGATAAATCACTCGTAAGTTGAGCCGCGATCGCGGCAATTTCAAAAGGGCGCAGTGCAACTTTAGTATTGAGATTTTTGAGACTTTTCGTCACGCTGGTTTACTCGAATTTGCACGGGTTTCACTGTTGATATTGTCAAGGGTACACAGCAAAAAAATTGGAACTCCACGATCGAGTAGAATGAAATATCTGGAGCGGGACGCAATTGGACGCATTTGGGGCATTTTTCGTACTGTCGCTGCGATCTAGCGCTGGATAGACGGTGTGCTGGCTATCATGATCGACCTCATTCTCTTCCTCTCGCGAATACCTTTCCAGGAAGCCCTAGATTGTGAGGATTGAGTGAGTAGAACTGAAGCTATGATCCGAGGAACATCACAAAATGCAGATTTTTGAAAATTTCCTGTGGCTCTTAAAGGGTTAAGAACGGGAAAGTGGTCAAGGTACCTGCCTACAGATTCCAGAAATTTCATTGCACTGCTCTCAGAGGTGCACTGCTTCTCCATACACTAATCCACACACCTATCTGTAATCAGCTACCATCAAGTGAGCACTAGTCCCTACTACAGTTGTGGCAAGTGAAATCCGACACTTGCCATAGGGGACAGCGCCACAAATGGACATCAATGATGTAATGCACTGCACCTAATTTGTACTATAGAGCCGTATGCATCCCAAACAGATCGAAAGGTCACAGCGTAGATACACACAGTTCACAAGTATGGTACACATAAGGAGTATTGGTATACAATCCCCATTCATTTTTGCCAGCACCTTTTGAACCTTGACTGTGATGAGTACGAGTTTTGTCATCAGACAGATAAAGTTGTATGTAACACATGTACTGTACGTATGCAGGGCTACAGGGGCTGCAGACTGCATGGTGCAGTCCCTTATGCCAAGTGTTGGATTTCACTTGCCACAACTGTACTACTACTACTACTACTACTACTACTACCTACCAACACTTTCAAATGGGCAGGTGCCTTGCTAATGAACTCCTCCGTGGAAACCAAGTCAACATCTGCACTGACACTACACGCACGCATGCACACATATGAACAAGCAAACAGTGGTTGAGTAAACAAAACAAGACAAGGATATGAAGAAAAGTAGTCCTAACTCCCGCACATGTACTACCTAGCTGACCTCATTCACTAGACCAGCAACACAACTATAAGTTGTTGTAGATAATAGGCCTTATGCACGTTGTACACATGCACGAAATCCCGTAGAATCCCGTAGACCCGGTTGGGTGTTCAATGTGCAGGACCCTATTGTGTTTATTGCTATTTCCACAGCGAAATGGGCCCTGAAGGCATTTCATACGAACACTTTTTCGACAGTGATCTAGCGAGTCGTTAGTTCAATCCCAAAGTGAAGAAGCTGGAAAAGTGATTGTTCGCCGCGAATTATGAGGCTAAATGGGTCAAACACGCATGTATAGCACACAATGAACACCCAACCGGGTATGTACACACCTACGGCCCTAGTACAGAACTTCGTACATCTGTACAATGTGCATAAGGACTATTGCAAAAATTCCTCTATACAGATGTTTCTATCATACAGATCATGAGATGTTTCTAGAATACAGATCTCATCACTGAAAGCTGCACAAGTAAGGGTACTGAATGGCAAGAAATTACGATAAGCACTATTTACAGGGAATAACTGTGAAAATGAAGAAACGTAATCCCACGCTTTGAGGTAACAGAAGTACCAGCGCAGAATACATGGAAGATGAAACTAACACGAATAAATGCACTGCGGACATAGATACACGTGATACTGTAGGCATAATGCCAGCGCTCTGAAACAGCACACTGAATAATAGTGTGACAGCTCAGGCTTTGGGTTCCAGCACAGCAGTGCGAGAAGTCACGCGAGAGGCCACTAGGGAATTCACTCTGTCTACTCACTAATCACCACATTGCGCTGGCGTCACATAGCCAGGCGTCACACTGCTGGTGTTAAGCACCTCTTTGCTACTGACACTGCTAAAGAACACTTTGCATACTTAATTTTTTTGTATCTCTGTATTGAGATCTGTATGATTGAAGCAGCTGCACGGAGAAATTATGCCATAATCTGCAACAACTTGGGAGTTGTGTTGATGGCGTGTGTGGTGAATGAGGCCGGCGGGAGAGCACATGTGACGGGGGAGTTTGGACTAAATTAACGATGAACCGGCCGAACGCTGTTGCTTCCCCTCCTGACAATCAAGAGTACACGTGTATTATGATGGGTATGCAACAGTGCTTTTCGGCGTGGCCAGGTCAAATTCTAGAATATCGCATCAAGTGTATTGCTTTGTCAGAGAGAGAGAGAGAGAGAGAGAGATGTTCGTGCCCTTGAGACCCGAAGTCCTGTCTTCATAAGATGCATTTTAGGTGGTATGCGCTCAGCGCTTTTTCAGGGGATGAATTCCGGGTCTGGTCGGGTCGAAGCGTCGCGGACTATTCCATCGTATTCAGCGTCGAAAAGCTGCTGGCCATGTGAAATTTCAAGGCGGTGAGACTCTTTCGTCTCCCTATATGAGTGAATTTGCTTTGCGCCAGCATACCAAAGTAGGCAATATCGTTCGAGTGACGAGGAGTGCACTGTACACTACACTGCATGCACTGAGCGTGCAGTTGTCTTGAAATTTTCTCGATTCTCCCATCACTCCCATTCATTTCTGTTTCCACCGAAAGTCCAACGTGGTGCACTTCAAATCACTATAACTCAAGAACGGCTGGGCAAATTTGAATAATACTTGCAGATTTCAAGTCTGATTTCCTACATGCTACGCTTTGGAGAATCGAATAAGACCAAAATCGAAGCGATTGGAGCAAGTTTGAAATTAGGTGAAGTCACTACTATAACTCAACCAGTAATTATAAATACTACCGTAAAGTACCACCAGAGTGCCCATCTTGCGAGAGTGCCCCACCTTGATTTTACAGCCAAGGGAAGAAAATCGTATGGCAGAGTGCTACTAAGTTTGTACGGTGTGAGGACCTCAGTGCACTAAGGTCACATTTGGCATGTTTCTATGTGGAGCTCGCATCCGCTCGAAGGTAAACTGGGTACGGATTGCTTGCACAACGTGCAATGTGTGTACAAGGTTTGTATCGTATGACCTACAGACAGGAAACCATCTCCACAAGACTACCACGAAAGGACGAGATGGCGAGGCGCTCTGGTGGTACTTTACGGTATATACAAAGCTAAAGCAAAGACGATTGACAGCCAGTTTACGTACATGATGAGCAAGCACGCGAGACAGCTACACCCTATGGCCATTATTCATGAACCATCATTTACAGTTTTGTACAATTGATGCTAGTGTACCACCATATACATCGTAAGTCCAGTTTCAATTAATACACTAGTTGCAGAAGTCAAGCCTATTGCATGACACATGACAAACACCAGATTACCAACAACTAAGAGATGGTCACTTACGGAGAATTTCTTGCTTCATTGATCTTCTGTTGCAGGTTGTGCTCTTCATACTGGAGATTCTGCAGCCTCAGCATTGCTTTGTCACTGTCATTCATAGCCTGAATCCAATGCATGTGACACAAACACACACATACGTGTGCGCGCGCGCGTGTGTGTGTGTGTGTGTGTGTGTGTGTGTGTGTGTGTGTGTGAGCACACTCTACTTCGAAGTACCACAAAGTCCGCTGCAAACGCCCACCCCATTTTTGCAAGATCTGCTGGCCTATACGCACTGACCACATGCACTTTCACCCCTACTGTACGAAAGTGCATCTCACACCGCAGCGCGAGGAGTGCTTTGTTACGGTAAACTATGTCCATTTTCCAGGTTTCAAAATGTTTTTGGGCACCACAGTCCATTTCAAAACTATAGACGCGTACCTAGGCAAAAACCGTTATGCCAGCATCTATACCACATAAAATCTGTGATCACTTTGTGCATAATTTTTTCCAAATTGGGCGTCTGTTATCCAATCGTTTAGAAACTATATGAGAGTAATTGTGGAGCGGACCTGAGCAATATTCCGAAAACTATTCTCAAAAAGTTCCAGCCAAATTTGAAATATTTCAAAAACCCTACGCGTCTATAGTTTTGAAATGGACTGCAGTTACGAGCTAGCTCCTAGTGATTTTATGATGTTGGTTGTTAAATTTCGAAAATCCAAACGGGAGTTACTTCGGAATAACCAGGTAGCGAAGAACAGACTATTGCAGGAACCAAATACACTTCTGACAGTGTTTCAAGCCATCATTTCCAAATCACACAAAGCGCAATGGCAAGGGTTTTTCTCGAGCACTTCAGAGTTTTCAACAAGTTAGCAGCGACTTTGTAGGTGTAGCTTCTGTGACATCCCCCCCCCCCCCAACCGTTCAAGAGCCATCATCATCAAACAGCACTGAGCACACTAGCAACCGTTCAAGAGCCATCATCATCAAACAGCACTGAGCACACTAGCCATTGCCCAACCGTTCAAGAGCCATCATCATCAAACAGCACTGAGCACACTACCAACCGTTCAAGAGCCATCATCATCAAACAGCACTGAGCACACTAGCCATTGCCCAACCGTTCAAGAGCCATCATCATCAAACAGCACTGAGCACACTACCAACCGTTCAAGAGCCATCATCATCAAACAGCACTGAGCACACTAGCCCAACCGTTCAAGAGCAATCATCATCAAACAGCACTGAGCACACTAGCCATTGCAGGTGCAAGTGAATACATGTTGCTGGTGTCTCAGCGCTTGCCTGCTGGACTAGGCGACATAATGACATTAGGGGCCGTCCATAGTAATTATAAATCTTTTACTGAAGTGCTAGTATACCAAACAAAAAAGTTGCGTATACGGGTGGGTGAGTCAGGGAGAGTTTCATTTCGTAAAAATATTGATAGCTGAAACATCAATCCGCTCTAGCTGTCAAGCCAATATGTTTTTCATTGACGGGAGGGGGGGGGGGGGGGTCATATCTAAATTTTTCGTTCCGTGAATATTAGGGCATGTTCGTTTGGTAGGATCGGAATCCCGATCCACCGGATCCACTGGATTCGCACCCTTTCGATTGGTCGAATCTGGATCCGGATCCTTCGGATTTGGATCCGGTCAACCCACCTCGGGGAGCAGGGTTGACCGGATCCAACGGATCCAAATGTGACCTTTGTGCGTATATGGCGGGTAAAATCGTTTTTGTACACATTGTAATACGCACACGCGGATGGAGTAGCTAGAGCTTGTTGACTTTTTGTACGACGGAGGCGATGAGTACAACGTTCACCCCTTTGCCAGTTTTGGGTGATTTGTGAGCGCCATTGTCAACATGGCAACAGTCAAGGTCCAATGTAAAGTGTTCAGTTGAATCTGAAGGATCCGATGGATCTGAGATCTGGATCCTGATCCCGATCCTTACCAATCGAACATGCCCTTATTGATTATGCCGGATGCCGGGATGGCCCCTTACAATTATGACAGTTTGTTTTCATGGTTGATAAATATGGTGGTAAAGACACACCTGGCAATATGGCCGTAAACACACGCCTGCCCACACACGCTCTCTAGGCTGCAAAGTTCTGGCACAGAGCTCTCCTTCTCACCACCACCACCATCAGTTCGCGCCTGGTCGATGCATGGTTGGCGGTATCCGGCATAGCAGGCTGGTACATCAAGTAGCGCATGGCACATAAAAGATGACACAGCAACGACATAGCTCGATTGCGACGTACGTTATGAAGACATCCAAGAAGAAGATTGCCTGATGAGTCCAGCGGGGACGAAACGTACGTCGCAATCGAGCTATGTCGTTGCTGTGTCATCTTCTATGTGCCATGCGCTACTTGATGTACCAGCCTGCTATGCCGGATACCGCCAACCATGCATCGACCAGGCGCCAGGCGCCAACTGATGGTGGTGGTGGTGAGAAGGAGAGCTCTGTGCCAGAACTTTGCAGCCTAGAGAGCGTGTGTGGGCAGGCGTGTGTTTACCGCCCTATTGCCAGGTGTGTCTTTACCACCATATTTATCAACCATAAGTACAGCTGCAGTGGTGTCTTCAACTTCATTCTCCCGAGTCAAGCTCCGTATGAAGACATCCAAGAAGTTTGTTTTCAGGTTAAATTAAAACTTAATTCTGATAAAGAGAACAGCAAGTATCCTTACCTGTTGGGTTTTTAGCTGGTCTACATTGACTTGATTCACTTTGGCACGAAACACATTGAAGAGTTTTGAGAGGCTGACGATACCCTGGTTGCGCACATCGCTAATATCCTACAGCAGAAACAACAAACACATCAAAGAAATACTGCAGTGCTTTCCCCACAGAATAAAGTGGACAAAATCCTAAAATTATGTGCATAATTATGCGGGCAAAAACACGCCATTATGCGGCAAATATGCGGTATAACGCGGTCATTAGGGTTGGTTCACATAAGCAAAACCAGCGCCGTACGACATCGGCAGTGAGCCAGCTCCCGATCCGTTGCGGATACGGTTCGAGTACAAAGTAGTACAGAATGTACCCAAATGCTACGACAGGCTTGCCAATTGAAGCTTGAATTCTTTGTTTCTTCAGTAGTTCAAGGTCTTTCAGTGATGGCCACTCGGTGCTACCTTTTACTGGAGATCATGAAACTACATCTACACATTTTATTGCAGTCTAGTAAGCGATGGTGTCGAAATTGTGCATGCAAACGTTGATGAAGTCACAAGAACTTCCCAATGGATCCATCTTATTTATTTTATTTATTTCAATTGTATTTGTCTCATAAGTTGCACAACAGTCAAGCAGATCATCCGAGAAGGACGGGTTGGTATGCTGACTTAATTTGCCACCTTGAAGCGACTACAAGAATGGTGAACGGACCTCATCTTTACCTTAAATTTAGGAAAATTTAGGACAAGTATTGGTTTGAAATTTTGACAAAGTCTGGCTCCCGGCACCGGCAATCACCGGCGCCAACGGTTCACAAACCACTTTTGGTCAAAATTCTACAGGATCGGTGCCGGGGCAGATCGCAAGAGTTGGGCACTGCCCAACTTTGCCAGCGGTCCCTTGCGATTAAATTTTACCGTACGAGTTTGTTACGACTGCACTGGTTCACAAAATCGCAATGCACCGGGAGAGGTTGCAAGAGGCCCACCGCCGGTGACTCCCGGCACATACCGGCGATATGTGAACCAACCTTTATGCACAAGTTATCTGTCATTTGTACAACTTAAGCATGCAGTTTGATGCAAGTATACAACTTTGTCGTACAAACTCATGGACCGGTACGACTTTGTAGTACATTTTCAACATCATGTACTATTTTCTTGTACATTCCCATGAATAACGCGGGTTTTATGCAAAATCTCTCGAAAACGCGAATGAAAGACAATAACGCGGAAAATTGCGCGTCCGCGGAATCGCGGTATCCTGTGGGGACAGCTGCTGTGTGTGTGTGTGTGTGTGTGTGTGTGTATGTGTGTGTGTGTGTGTGTGTGTGTGTGTGTGTGTGTGTGTGTGCTGTGTGGTGGATATCAGGCTAAAATTAGTGGCGGTCAATTCATCAGCCTTGCAAGCTGTTGAATGGTGTAATCCCAGCACAAGTTGCTATGTCTACAGTCCATTTCAAAACTATAGACGCGTACCTAGGCAAAAACCGTTATGCCAGCATCTATACCACATAAAATCTGTGATCACTTTATGCATAAATTTTTCCAAATTGGGCGTCTGTTATCCAATCCTTTAGAAACTATATGAGAGTAATTGTGGAGCGATCCTGAGCAATATTCCGAAAACTATTCTCAAAAAGTTCCAGCCAAATTTGAAATATTTTAAAAACCCTACGCGTCTATAGTTTTGAAATGCACTGTAACATAGCTACCGTATTTCCGCAAATAAAAGGCTGTCCTCGTATACAACGCCTTCCTCGTATACAAGGCCGGGGCAGGGGGCGATTGAAAAAATAAAAGACCGTCTCCGATTAGAAGACCGGGCCTACTAAATGAGTCACAAACTTTTGTTAAAAATAGAAGACCGTGCTCAAACTGTGGGTAAAAGACTTTATTAAAGTAGAAGACCGTGCTCAAACTGTGTAGAAGAAAATGGAAGAATGGGGGTAAAACTGTGTGGCGAAAAATAGAAGACCGGGGTCAAACTGGGTTGAAAGAATAAAAGACCGTCCTCGAATACAAGACCGTCCTCGATTATAAGGCCGGGTTAGGACGAGGTTTAAAAAATAGTAGACCGGCCTACTATTTGTGGAAATACGGTATTCGTTATTATCGCTTCCGCGATGGGCAGGTCTGAGGTGTGTGCGTGTGCGCGTGCATGCGTACGTTGACCGTTTGCACCATATGACCAAATACTCTCAGGGCGATTGGAATCTCAGCTGATGTTGTATACGTGCATACTTGTATATCACATGATCAAACGATCATGGGACAGCACTGAGCGAATGTAGCATACACGCATATGCCAAGTGACCACACGAAACGTCCTTGCCAAGCTGGCTTAGCCACCATGCGTAGGAGACTGACAAGCTACTGAACCACGATCAGTATTACGAGGCACCTGACAACAAGTTCTTTCATCAACTGTTGTCATTCCCTGTACATTCTGTGAATATAAACACGCTGCACAAATGTGCAAGCCGTGTCTCAAGATACAAGTGCTTGGTCTGCGTGATACAGGTGGAATCCTGATAATTCGAATATGGCTTAATTCGAACATACCGCTTAATTAGAAGTTTTTCCAGAACCGATTTCTATCAATACGATTCCCACATAACAATTTCTGATAATTCGAACCTCGAACTGGACATGCCCGGTTAATTAGAAGTCCCACAGATTCCACGTACATAGAAAATGTGTGGGGTTTGTGCTGATAATTCGAAGTTAGCAAAGTATAATTCGAAGTTCACTGTACACTGTACTGATCAGTTCAGTTTGCATGAGCAGGCTGTGCCGGTCAGTTCAGTGTCCGTAAAATTTGTGTCTAAGGTCAATAGCGCAACTCTGCGTGACCATGAGAGCATTTTGACATACATAATTGAGTTGTGGGTTCATGTTTGGATAATTAGAATGTCCGGATAATTAGAAGTTTTTTCCTGGCATTTTGAGGTTCGAATTATCAGGATTTCACCTGTACTAGTAAGCGAAGAACCACTGGCACTGTACTATCAGCTTTCGCATTTCCTCGCCAAGAATGTGATGACAACTATGATTTGAAAAATGGATTGTTCAAGTGGATTGGCGTAGAAATTCCTGTGTTCAATATGAATATAATTCAACGCAGTTACCTTTCCCCCATCAAGTTGGTTCTTGGCAGCATCAACTATTTGGCGGAGATTAGCACATTGAGCAGAAAATTCAGGTGATGGTGTTGCTTCAGCAGAAACTGTAGAGGATTGCAAGGATTTCTTTGGTTTCTTGGCAGGAGAACCCACACTCGGCGTTCCTGGCGCTTTTCTCTTCATCTTCTCATGTATACAGTATTGCGACCCAAAGCTACGAACCACAATGGTACACGTGCATGTACAGAAGAAGAAGGACGAAGAAACTACAGGAACTAAAAACGTAAATACTGTACTGGTAATTACTTCAGAAAGGACTCACTCTGTTCTGAGAAGCTTCGAATCCTTGTTTTTTGTCCTTTTTCAAATTTTCTAAAGAAAACACCATTAATTATGCACATGCCGATGATGCCGTGACGTGTTACATGTTGACATGGTGGATGTGGCATGTGCGCTGCGCCGGCGATCAGGCGGATTCGGGCGGCGCCGTGGGCATGCAGCGAGCGCTAGGTCGGCGCGGCGGCGGAGGCCGAATTCGCGAAGGGATCGAACCACCTGCCTTGTCTTGTTTTTCTTGCCAGAAAGTGCTGTGTTCCTTTTGCAAATGCAGGACGTATTTTAGGGAAAGTGCTTGGAAACTGTTGAGATCGAGCTCTATTGAGACAACCCAGCAGTGTCGCTACTGGACTTTCCTCATATTTACGGTCTGGTAGACCACTCAGAGCAGGATGGGTGACAGACGAGAAAGACGTGACAGAGATGAAGTAAGTAGCTAAAATTGTGTTCAAGCTCTCTTCATTTTCCCTTCAACTGACTCCCTCAATAATTATATTTCCGCTACAGGGCAGCGATCAGATTCGAAAGCTTTTCATTGGAGGTCTGACGTTGGATACAGATGAAGAGCTTCTCAAGACAACGTTCCAGGACTTCGGAACATTGGAAGATTACGTGGTCATTAGAGACGATGGAAAACGTTCCAGAGGATTTGGCTTTGTGAAGTTTGAGGATGAAGGTGCTGCCGACGAAGCAATCAAAAGCAATCCCTTCACTATTGATGGAAGAGAGATCATCGCCAAGCGTTCATTTGGAAAGAACTCTATGAACAACGATTCCAACGTAGCTGCTCGTAACAAGAAGATTTTTGTCGGTGGTCTGAGCCAAAGTGTCACAACTGAGGATCTGAATGACCATTTCAGCCGATTTGGAGAAATCGAGGAAGCTGTCGTAATGATGGACAAGGCCGCTGGTAGGAGTCGCGGATTTGGTTTCGTCACGTTCAAGGAATACGACCATGCCGACAAAGCAGTAATCGCTCCGCATAGCTTTGATGGAAGAGATGTGGATGTGAAGAAAGCTGAGACAAGAGAATCCATGGCGCAAAGAGAAGGCCGTGGCATGAGAGGGTACCGTTCTGAGCGAAGTGCACCACCCAGTGGACGTGAAAGCTATGGACGTTCAGGTGGTTATGACAGAGATGGTGGTTACGAGCATGGACGCAGCGGCGGTGGTGGTGGTAGATACGGCGGCGGCGGCGGAGGCTATGGTGGTGGTTACGGAGGTGGTGGATATAGTGGCGGCGGCGGAAGCTATGGAAGTTATGGAGGTGGTGGTGGCTATCGTGGTGGCGGTGGCGGCGGCTATGGAGACAGTGGCGGTTATGGTGATGGTGGTGATGGCTACGGAGGTGGCTATGGCGGTGGCTACGGAGGTGGTGGCTCTGGAGGATACGGTGGTGGTGGTGGTGGATATAGCGGCGGTGGTGGTTACGGTGGCGGTAGCTCTGGTGGTGGTGGTTACGGTGGCGGTAACTCTGGTGGTGGTGGATACGGTGGCGGCGGATACGGTGGTGGTCGATCAGGATACAGCGGTGGTGGCGGCGGCGGTGGTGGATATGCCGGTGGCGGTAGCAGATACCGGCCATACTGAGCAGGTAAGCTGTGTACATGTATGTGTTGTGTGGCTGCTGCTATCGTGTGCATGTTGTAGCTCAGTTTGTAGAGTTGTAAGGTATGCATAGTTGTAGAGTGTGTATCGGGAGAGGGGGGGGGGCTGTTGTGTGTGAATTGAAATAGCATGTACTGTGTTCACAGAATGCAGGTGCATGTCAGAATTAAGAAACTTCACTTCTCAACTCTAAAAACCGATTATTTCATTACCCTGATGATGGGCCAGGCCCGAAAATTTGGCATAATGTAAATCTTAATTATAATTTGAATCGCAGTGAAGAGACCGTTTTTTGAGTTAAGAAGTGAAGTTTCCTAAATGTGTAAGTGGCTGCGTTGGAGTTTGCGGACCATTAGAAAAGTATGTCAGAATTAGTCTAATAATTATCTGTACCATACTTGTAGCTACGTAGGCTTAGATTTGTTCAGTTATTTATAATTCTTTCTTTAGCATTTTCTGTGCATCTTTGTCCCCATTTCTTTTCCTGTGAGCGTGTTATGCCCATAATGTTAATGGGAGAGTTCTTGTCCCAATCTCTCTATCTCTCCTCCACTACCTGTCTGAGGTGTGCTCAGCAGCAGACAAACGAGTTGATTTTAGAAGGACCAACTTTAGGAATGTTGCGAACTTATCACCTTTTGAAGACTGATTTTACCCAGTCATTGACAGCAAGTAGGGAGGGGGAGAGGGGACTTAGCTACTGGCATGGATGTCCTTTGCATGATCTCGCGATCATTGATTTCCAATCCTCCGCTTATTCTATCTATGTTGAGGAAGACCGTGTTAGCAATGAGCGGCGGCAGCAGCAGGAATAGCCTGTATTCTTATGTGCCTTCGTATGTTGTCTTGCTCTCCAACCACCAGATTATGCAGATGTTAGATCCTGTAGACAGCAGCTTTATTCGCGCAGGCACGGGTGTAGCGTAGCTTGTGTTATTTGAGAGAGGGACAGAGAGAGAAAGGGAGACGTTATGGAGGAGGTCAGGAGAGGACAGGCAGGCAGGGAGCTGGAGAGGAGTGGGTATGCTCAATAGCTTTCTCAGGCAATCAGAAGAGGAGTTTCAAGAAAAGTCAGTGAGTAGGTGAGTCCTGTGAGTGTTGCTATTTTTCCAGTATTCCTTGTAGTCTGTAGTCCGGAGCTGTAGATCAGTCTTCAGTAAGTGTGTGTCGCTCATTTGTCTTTCCTCCGGCCCATGTCAGTCTACATTATGATTTGTCTGTTGTTTTCGCTTCTGCTATTCGTACTCCCTTGCTATTCTCAGTGCCGTTTTGTCTTCTATCTTGAACCATTTCATTGCTATCATTTGCTGTTGTTTGCGTTGCGCTGTAGTAAGTCATTTGCTATCCACCCCATTATTCTGCAACTTGCTGGTTTTTCTTCGCTTGTCCGTACAAAGTTTGTCCTCTTTGTGTGTGCAGAGAATGTACTTGATATAGTTTGGGATTTCCCCCATCTCTGCACCCATTGGTTTGAATGTGATTGTGGAGTACTCTTGATTCTGAGTTTTTGGTCAGCTCCACTCAAAGGTTTGTAAACTGTTGACGTTTCAGGGTTCTAGCCAGGTCAAGAATAGTAGGGGGGGGGGGGGGGGGGAGGCAGGGAAAACAGTTACCCTGTAACCCATTTTTCCGTTTTCCAAAAATTGTCTCGCTATGCAAAATGCAACGCACGGGAGCGACCCCGACTTGCACCCCAGACAAGTGTACATTAACTTTTAATGATGGCGTGCATGCTGTCCTACCGGTAGGACCAAGAGTACATAACCCCCCAGAGTGTGCAACTCCACTATGGGTGCTGTCCCGACAAGTTGACGTCATTTTGATGATGCAATGCGCACTGTACACGGATTATCAGACGAATCCGGAACCTGTACGGATTATCAGACGAATTCGGAACCTGTGGTTGACCGAAGCCCATCGATCCTGTACAAATTATTGCAAAGAAAAACGTGTGATGCGTTGACACCCGTACACATGTTGTAAATCACTGGTGCAAGGAGCATTGCGTCATAAATAATGACGTCAACTTGAAATTCTGTCGGGACAGCAGGGTATGGGGGAGTTGCACACTCTGGGGGGTTATGTACTCTTGGTAGGACCCAAGAAATCACTCCATGAAAGTGCTTTGGTTGAGAATTTTCTCGACAATGTTGGGACGGGGTCTTTGTAAGGCAAAGTAATGGTGCAAAATGCAAGAATATCTCCAGTGCATTGCATATGTGCAATTTTATCAATTGTACAAATGGCCACACATGCTCCTGTCGCAGCGCTAGCAACTATGTGCAAAGTGAACATTATCCTGTGGGGAGAGAGAAAACACTGCAGTGCGTGCTGAACTGAGGAATGCGAATTCGCAACCCGGGGGACTACTCCTTTCGCTAAAAATCAACTGCCAGTTGACTTTTGGTTTGCAGTGTTAACTAAAAGCATAATTACGATTTTCAATCCATGTAGACGATATCAAGACAAATATAGGGTTTGACATATGGAAAATTGAGAACAGAGAGGGATCATTTTGTCATCAAAAGAAACAATCTCTATCTACGAGTCTGTTGCTCTCGTGCTGAAGAAGCACATAATGCTAAATGCTACAAGCACTGGGAATTGTCAATCCATGTAGACAATATCAAGACAAAGATAGGGTTTGACATATGGAAAATTGAGAACAGAGAGGGGATCATTTTGTCATCAAAAGAAACAATCTCTGTCTACGAGTATGTTGCTCTCGTGCTGAAGAAGCACATACCGCTAAATGCTACAAGCACAGGGATAAGCACAGCAATAGAATTTTTTTTAAGCGAAAAGGGCAGAACCAGAAAATGATGGCTTGTACTTGTTCATAGTAAATATAATTTTATTTTTTTGTGGAAATGGCATTGTCCAAACCCACTGGATACATCTACTTTGCCTGGTACAGGGATTTTGTTCATATCGCCGCATAGGTGACTGGATTGGTGATCAAGTACGGCTTTACAGGCGGATTTGCGCTCTGGCCTTTTCCAGAATATCTTTGCGGATGCGTGGGTAGAGGGGATTGTTCTCGAGGACCTGTCAGAGTTCAAAGCAGATAGAAATAACATGATGGGGTTAGACGCCGTTATCGTCTTGTACAAAAGCACGATTAGAATGCAATAACATTGCTCCCCGAAGAGGCTCCCTGGTAGGAACTGCACGTAATTTTCATGCATAGAAATCAGCGCTGTAGGTTTCGCTCCACGTGATTTCTCCATGACTGCTAAGCATGCCTTGTTGCTTTGGAGACGCGTTGGCTACATGCGCCCATCGCATGCACCACAAACCAAAACCGCGCTTTCCATTTTGTTTTCCACGCTGTGTGCCTTGTGTTTTGCACGGCTTGAACGTTGCCATGGATAAATCCAGAAAATGAAAATGTGAAAAACAATATTTCAAAAAGTCCTACGGGGTACGGTACGGAGGACCAAACGTAGGAAAGAGCTTTCCTACGCAAATCTGTAGAGATATTTACGTATGAGAGTTGCCCTAACTCACCGGCACGTACGACATACGGATTTTTATACGTAACTACGTAGAGCGAAACCTCCCAGTATTATCTGACACCAGTGATCTGAAGAATTTAGAAACCTTTGCTTCCAGCCTGGCACCCAATGTCACTGCATAAGCATGCAGCTTTGAAGGGTGTGTTTCCGCCATGCATGTTGTACACTGGTTGTGTGGCGGTAAGATTGCACTGTGGCAATATCTAAACATTGCTTCACCGTAGACACAAAGGACATGTAACAAGCATGCATAGCCGTCTTAGCTTACTATGGGCCAAAATGGCCACTAGAATCTTAATTTTATAGAAAAGAAAAAGGACCAAGGAACTACAAGTTATGCTATAATGTCCACTGACACCACTAGTTACTAAACAATCAGCTCATGCGAAAACATTGCACGACACTGATCAACGGTATTGACGCTCTACAACTACATGTAACTGGCTATCAGCTCTAGCACGTCAGTTAGTTGTAGAACAGCACGTAGTGGTAGTAGCAGAAGTAGTAATTTGAGAAATATCCATGGATGTGAACAACAGAACATGCCTATACTGAACAGGCTATTATTAGGTTTCCAAGCCCGCAGGAAATGCAGGCCGGAATTAGCGTAGCTTGTCTTTTACTTCTCTATAAATTTATCCTTGGCTCTCCATTAGAATCACAATGGTTGCATATTCGGTGAGAGAGTGACTTGCGACAATTTGCTGGTGTCTAAAACACTACATGTGCATGATAGTGTTACAAGCACTACACATGCTTGCAACCATGTGAGCGAGGAATGGTGCCATGTTATATGCATTTTGTTGCCCGCACACTTTCAGTCTCCCGATCATCCCGGCATACAAGAACACATAGGGTACCCTGTAAGAAAGACCAAGGTCTGTGGGAATGCTTTATTTGAAATTTACTAAATGAAATTATTACTCGCTCTCCGGACAGTACAGCTAGCTGTTTTAACCTTGTTAGGTCTTATCACCGGAGCTCAGAAATAATCACGTTACATAAGGCCATCCAGTGTTCCTCTGTTTTGAAATTGGAATGGACAGTCACGTATGCTAGTCGGTCCTCGGCAAATTTCAGTTTCGGCTGCGGGCAGATTGATTGTGTACAGTGAAGTGGGGTACACCAGGGCATAGCTTAAGGATTTCATTTAGCTCGGACAAATGTCCTTCCGTTTTGAAATCTGTCCGGACATGCCCGGACATTTTCCACAACACATTTTCAGGGTGTTTCTTCTTTTTTTTAGTAGTACTGAAGTATATTCACAATGACTCATTATGTGGACGTATCTCACACATTACTTTGTACAATTCACCAATTTATTTGTATTAGAAACTGACGACAAATATATGTACAAGAAAGCGTTGCAGTCAAGAATTCAGTTGCAGCTGATATTCCTACTCGGCGAAGAAGGCATCCCAGTCTTCCAGGTCAAGTGCATCGCTCATCTCACGCCTGAGACTACGGTGTACGTGTTAGTTGTACGATATGCAAGTCGCATTTGGCACGAAGCTCCGAAGAAAGCCCAACTCTGCATAAAAAGGTCGAAAGGTCGCTGCTCTTTTTTTTACTTTTTGACCGGACACTATGTCCGGTGAAATTGAAAACGTCCAGTCAGTGGCCGAAAATGGCCGGAAAATGTCCGATGTCCGGCCGTTAATCTATGCCCTGGTACACGGGTATGATTACATGTGCCTTCAGCGTTTGTCTTGTTCAAACTGCTAAACATTCTACTGGACAGATGCGCAGTTTTGTCAGTTCTTTTCCAATCAATACAAGCAGCTCTTTCAGACAAGTTTTGGAACAAGTGTTTGTGTGTGTGTTTAAAAGTAAGCTACTCAACATTACATGTGCACCAGGGAATCATAGCACCTATATCAGTGCATGTGGCTAGGCCTGAGTTGACCGGAACAAAATAATAATGATTTTGGTTTCATTCCCAGGTTGCCCCTTCTCGTTGCTCTTGTGAGAAGCCTGATTTCTGCACACTTGCATGTGCCATCTTGGCTCGCGACTGGATCACAACCAAGTGTTGGATAGACAATGGTTCACATACAACTTCCGAATCCAGGGCCAACCATACATCGGTCCAGGTGCTGTGGTCTTCTGTACACCTTCCTAGATTTCCCTAGATGCTAACTCCCTGATGTACACCAAACACACTTGTACCTGATGTACGCCATGCATACTTGGCGAAATGTGCTACCGTGCTACCTTGAATGTGATCTACCTCACCTTGTTGCACACTTCAACAGCATCCACAAACCGACCTGCCTTCAGGTAGTTGAACCCAAGCTTGTAACCTGCAGCATGACACAAACACACGTGATCCTGGTTCTGAGCGTACACGTGTGTTATAATTATATTACTCTTGCTCCCTGACCCTGCCACAACACGTGTGTCTGACGGAGACCCACAGTGCACACTGCGGCCATCGCCCGTAGCTACATTTAGTGTGTACTGTGCTAGTGGATGTAGCCATTGCAACAGCCAATCAACTGTCTTTAGTAGTATTTCCCGATACCACCCGCTCATCTCAAGTGAACCCGCCAATATAGAACAGGGATGAATTTACTGTCAGGTTTTTGCATAGCAGTTTTTGCTATGCAAAATCTCAATTGTGGCATAAGCTACAAAAAGCATGGATAGCCTGTATGAATATGCATCGCAGTTTTCTGCGTGTCACTGTGATTTTGAGTAGCAGTAGATCGATTTTGCGTAGCAAACTGCGATGCGATACCGGATATATTCATCTCTGTAGAATATCGACACATCCAGCAAAGAGGTCAAATGCTGAATGGAACTGGTGGAAGTTCAGTATTGGCAGTAAAGAGATTGTTTTGAGAGTTCAGTATTGGCAGTAAAGAGATTGTTTTGGGAGTTGTCAGTATTGGCAGTAAAGAGATTGTTTTGGCAGTAAAGAGATTGTTTTGGCAGTAAAGAGATTGTTTTGTGAGTTGGAGAAGTGAAGAGTTCTACATGAGCAGTGAGCAAGTACTTCAAGTAGGTCAAAGGGTAGAGTACAATAAATGGAAGGTTCATCCACAGGTGCTAGCAGAGGTCGAGTGCTACTCGCCAGAGTGTGCAAGCGCTGACGAGTAGCTGTTATGGCTCGATTTCAGAAATAGAGTAAGAGTCATACATTCAACCTCATGTCAACCTCGGGTATCAACAACTCACGAATAACTACACTGTCTTTTATGGATTCTTCACTGCATTCATTTCAAAAACTCAAGAATAACGACACTTTTTTTAAACCGGACATGCCCAGTTCAAGACTCGAATTATCAGAAATTGTTATGTGGGAATCGTACAAGAAGATCACTCCCTCCCTCTCCCCCTCTCTCTTTTTTTTTATCTTTCTCTGTGTTATATCTTACATCACAAGGGTCCCACCATCCAGCCCAACGTACAGGTAAAAGCTTTTGCCGATGACCAGAATGGCATGAGACTACACATAGTCATAGGGAAGAAGAGCATACCTGAAGAAGAGCATACCTGAGTCACTGACTGCACGCGCAAACTTACCGATGACTGGGTTACACTGGCTACTGAAACGCCAGGCGTTCTCGTAATAGTTTGCAGCGTCATTGAAGTTGCCACCTTTTTCTTCCAAGTAGCCTCTGTACTCCCATGCCCTGGAGCAGGACTGTGAGAAGTAACACCGTGACGTGGATAAAGGCAATACACAACATGTACACCACTAGAGCCAGACGCATCAGTGTGCAATCACTCGCATTCTTTGGCTTGGGGATCTGCTAGAAGTATTCTCTAATATTAGCCTATCCGTGCTAGCATCAGATCCACCATGTAGGGTATGGTATAAGCCACACAGTCACTGGCGCAAGTGCTAAACCCCGTTGTCACATCCATGTTACCCTCGAACCAGATCACAACTTCCTCAGACCTGGCTGTGGGTTCCAGCACGGTTGGAATAATCCGTCCGCTTTCAATCAGGACACAGTGGCCCTGTAACCCGGCTTTGTCACAGGTTCTCAATCATGGTCTTCTTAGACTATCCCAATTATGAATGCCGGCGGTATATTACAACTAATACAAGAAAGCAATGGCTTCGGAGTGGAATTTTTTTTTTTTACATAAGACCACACATCCGATTCGTTAAAAACAAAAACACGAAGTCAGAATGAGGAAATGCAGATGCAGGGCAGCGGTGGGGTGCTGGTGTTGTGAATGATTACCTTGTTGTACTGCAACACCTTTTGCAGAACACGATGAGCTTCATCCATGTGTCCAGCCTGCATGGAAATCCGATGTGGATAGATAGAGGATAGCAGAGCAATTTTCACCTGTCCCATTTTCACATGCATGACAGGCCACGGATCAGCCTGCATGCTGGTATTCTGCTTATCTCCGCGGATCAGCCTGCATGCTGGTATTCTGCTTATCTCCGCGGATCAGCCTGCATGCTGGTATTCTGCTTATCTCCGCGGATCAGCCTGCATGCTGGTATTCTGCTTATCTCCGCGGATCAGCCTGCGTGCTGGTATTCTGCTTATCTCCGCGGATCAGCCTGCATGTTGGTATTCTGCTTATCTCCGCCTTCTTTCATCGATAGTATCATACACTCCCCCTTAACTTATACAGACTGACTGTCAGTATTGCGGCCTGGTGTGGACTGATTAGGTGATGGATGCCACTATACCTGCATGAGTCATAAAGTTGCCATGTAGCAACAAGTGCCTATGTGGGATCAAACACCAACGTTATAACAACTCTCTATCTTCGTAAGTACGGCACAAGCTTGCTGTGGAAAAGCCCATTGGTACATTCCAGGAGTTTACTTTCCTCTCCACTTCAGCCCCACAGTCTTCAAAGAAAAGAAATACAGTAGCCTGGGTAGGCGTATCAATAATATCATCTTGTGCGGCATGTAAGTTATGATGGGTATGGTGATGGGTATGGTGATGGGTATGGTGATGGGTATGGTGATGGGTATGGTGATGGGTATGGTGATGGGTGTGGTGATAAAGAAAGGAAGAACGGCAAAAGAGCTCACTGCAATGTTGTGGTCCACAGTCAGCAGCCAGCCTCTTTCCAAGTCTTCTGCTTCCTACATAGTGCCATTGGTGGAGCAGTATGTGTAGCGCGCACATCAAGTACATAGGGACATGAACATGTTCACGCACATACACCGGCAAACAAACAGACATACACACACACACACACCATGTACACACACACACACACACACACACACACACACACACACATGTTAATCACCATTGTATTCAAGAAGGATCCACGAGCGGGATTCGAACCCAGCACCCCTGTCTTTCCGGGACAGTGCCTTACCGATTAGGCTACCGGGGATCACACACACTCATGGGTCCTTCTTGCTACAGTTAGTACCAGTTCAGTAGTTACTAAGCCGTCCTGGTCAGTGTGGACTATCCTCTAGCAACTGATGACTGTGGTCGATATGATTGTACATCATTCCTAGATGACTGCAGCGTGTACATTTACATGTTGCGGTATGATCCCGATAGAAGGCACAACCAACCCTTGTCAACAAACGTCTCCTTGACTTACACGGAAATTCCACGGCTTCTTAATGATCCTCTTCATCTGATTGCGAGCACGTGGTGTTTGTTTCAGCAAGAGAAAGGCACTGATAAGACCAACAATGGCCGGTGTGTACTCAACAATTGGCTGGACATCATTCCCAGTCTGCCATCAGCACATTACACGGACAACACCACATGCATTCACATATGCAAAAAAAGGTACACACACATGTACACACACACACACACACACGCACACACATGCCCATGCACGCACACACGTACGCCCCCCCCCCCCCCCCCCACACACACACACAAACACATACAAGCACAAACTAATTATAAGGAGTTCACATACTTTCATAACTTCGGCTGGGATTCAACCATACAACAGCTTACAAGGCACACACATGAACATGCACACATGAACAGACCCACACATGGATACAATCATACACACAGACGCACAGACACACACGCAGACATGTACAGAAACACACGTACACACACATATATACACAGACAGACACAGACACACAGTCACACACACACGGACGGACACTCACGAATATACACACAGATTGACAAAAAGAAAGTTCTACTGTCTAGTACATGCAGTAGTACTTGGTCAACTAACCGGTTGCATAACATCAACTAACCGGTTGCATAACATCCATGAATGTCGCGATGGCTTCTTCAATACTGTCCCGCTGTTTGCTTTTCAAGAGGATAAAGGCACGCAATACACGCTGACGCATATGGTTCTTATCCGATAGCTGAGACCATTCCTGAACACAAGATCAAACCGGAAGTATAGGAATATAGCGCCAGTGGTGTTGGTGTAGCTGGTAGACTGTTGGTGCGTGAGAGTATGTGTACGAGTGAGAGACTGTGGCCTGATACAGGTTGCAGCGCTTCGAGATACTTTGCAACTTGATTATGTACACAGTATATATGCCTGTACATACTGCACTGGGGGTATCATGTCTAGCCTGCTGCATGCTGGAGATGCAAACAGAAAACTGTGAAACCAGAATACACACGCACATGACTAAAATGTTCACTTACGGCCAGCAGGTTTTCAGCTGTTCTCATGGCCATCATCTCAGAGTCAGCCTGACCCCCTGGAGAGCCCCTGCATAGACACAATAATAGTAACAATACACATGTACAACCAGGGAGATTCGGGACAGCTCTAAAAAGTCTGGTAGAGTATCACCCAGAGCGGGTAACCCAGATAGGTTACAGCAAAACACACTCTTGTCTCCTGTACTTGTGTAATGTGACAAAATTACAGAAAGTCGCCAAGGAGTAAATTTGAGTTCAAAAATAGTACTGAGGCCAAACTAAAAAAGGTGTGTGGTTCGACTAACATGGACATTTTTTTTACGGGCGGGCGGGCGGATTTTTTTTTGAAGTATATTTTTTAGTACATGTAAATACACTGTACTGCCTTTAGACACCCAGTACATCGGCATTATTACGCAGTGTTATGCCATACATGTTGTATAAAGGGATCACTGGCTAATACTTTTAAACATTGTGTGGCAGAAAACGAGGAAAGTGCAATCTCGTCTGTCCTTCATCCCAAAACAGAAGGCCGTCCTTAATCTGGAACGAGGCAATCACTCTCAACCGGACGGTCACTTCAAAATAAGTCTCGCCAGTCTGCCGGTGGTCGTATCGAGTAGACTCTACTACCAGCACAAGGCAGCAGTTGTACCACTCACTGCACTGCACTGCAGTACAACTACAAGTCAAGTCCAAAAGGAGCCGCCTGCGTCCGCAGACTCACGCTGCACAGCACGTAGACGTGGACGTGTTCAGTCCACGTACGTCAGTCACACGACAGCCCGCCGAAAAAAAAGTTACGGTCGGGCTGAAAAATGTACGGTCGGTCGGGTGAGTCGAACCACAGACTTTTTTCAGTGTGGCCTGACAAGTAAATTCATTCGGTATGCTTTGTGGAGGCAAGTAACAAAATAACAGGAATGAAACCTGTGATAATGGCTAATGCAATACACAATGATGCACCATGCGGCACTGTGTTAAATCAGTGATACTACAAGCAAGCCGCAACATCTACCCTCAAACAGTGACACTAATGCGACGGACCAAACATCTGTACATGAAGATACACATGTTGTAGCGTGGATTTCATTCTACTGCTCCTGGCCTGTGCCATCTCCACACTTAGGTAGACAATTGACGACCAACACAAGTGGGAAAAAAGGAAAAGTGTTTGAGTGAGATACTGTGGTGGTTGTGCTTGCAATGTTGGGCAAGAATATTCAACAGATGGCCACATACTAATACTTTGAAGTAGCCTCCATTCGTACCAAACCAATAGCTACTGTATACGATTGGAAATGTCAATGAGAGGAGGAGAGAGACAGACAGACAGAAGCAGACAGACAGACAGACAGAATAAGTGAATTCCAGTGGTATGTTGGTTTCTTTTAGCCTACCCAACCGACTTTGTGGATACGTAAATAGAGGCAAGAATACCGTTGCAGAATATAAAACTTTGAAGCAGTCCGAGCCACACTATGTAGTCACTAGAGTCTGGGTGTTTCTCAGGAAAAATAATTCAACATGAAGAAGAGCTGAGCAAAGAACTTACGCCTCATTGTCGACTGCTGCGAGAATCTCCCCACCTGAAAATGGGACCGATAGCAGCACAGGACACTGATCACCATAGCAGCACAGGACACTGATCACCACAGCAACACAGGACACTGGTCACCATAGCAACACAGGACACTGATCACCATAGCAACACAGGACACTGATCACCATAGCAACACAGGACACTGATCACCACAGCAACACAGGACACTGATCACCATAGCGGCACAGGACACTGATCACCATAGCAACACAGGACACTGATCACCATAGCAACACAGGACACTGATCACCACAGCAACACAGGACACTGATCACCATAGCAGCATAGGACACTGATCACCATAGCAGCACAGGACACTGATCACCATAGCAACAGCACAGGACATTGATCACCATACAGGTATACTTGTTGAGCTGGACGTGGAGCTGCAGCTACTCATCACTTACCAAGGTTTTCATTGTCTGGAAACAAGCAAATGTCAATCATCTCGTACAAGGCACGTTCTCCCCTGAGGACACAAATACAACACAAAACACACTGAGTAACAATACACTTGGCAAGGGGTCACGGCGAAAGAACAATTGATCATTGAACTGCATAATCCATTCGGGAGGGTAGGGACTCAGTAAAAATCATATTTCAGACGGCACACCAGAACTACATGTACAACATGCATGGACTGGTGCCACACGCTAAAGCTAAAGAACACTTCGCCGTTTGTTTAGAAGAGGGGGCGGGGTTGACAACAGGCGGTATGATGACATGGCTGTGTGTTTCGGGGACAACATAAAGAAACTTTGTGACGACTCCTCTAAGTGTCTACTGAACTCGGCCAGCATCCTCAAATGCCTGGGAAGGACAAAGCCACAAAGCAAGGCCAGGTCAGCCGAACACAGGAGCTCGAGACGTAGCTGCACTACTGAAGAGTGAAGTAGAAGAATCACACACTGTATGGTGCCAGACCACCAGGTGCACCAGACGCACAAACCAAAACAAACTGCAAAGTATGCAAAGGCACACAGCCAAATCGAAGTGAAACTCACGCGTATATAGCACACATCTGCATATGTCCTGGAAGTATCATGCATGCGTGACCTCCATGGCCACTACTTCTAGCAGCTTTTCTGAGAAGCCTTCAGACAAAGACTCAAAATACTCTTGAAGCAGGTTGTACGTATATCAGTAGTAGGTATTATTGTAATTGGACAGCTAAATACTTACAGCTAAATACTTACAGCTAGCGGCTACACTGAGTACAAGAGGACTTTGCACACTCACTGGCATTCGATTATGGCTTCACAACGGACACTGAACTGCGATCCCAAGGCAAGTGTGGCCCAAGCAAGCACATGCGGAATTCAACTGAGGTCGACGAATTTCAAGGGGGTAGGCACATGGCTCCTGTCACGCCACGGTGCCTTTCACAAGCTACACGTATGGGCATGCTAGTGTATCAACACTCACAACACTCACAACACTCACCATTCCCTGTCTTTCCTCGCCAAGTTAAAGGACTTCAATGCATCTGTAGCATTACTGGAATACCTGCACCATGGTATACAGAAGTAAAAAAAACACTTTAAAGAAAATTTAGAACGGTGCGATACATGCACTGCACACCCACCCATCCACCCGCCTGTCCGCCCGCCCGCCAACTACCCAGTCCCATCTCGTTTCATCAATTACACATTTCTATCACCTACCTCTGATAGAGACCTTTACAGTAACTGAGCCCGGCAGGTACAGTCAACGCTCCATGATGCTTTTCAGCCTTCATTGTAGTGTTCATACACAAGGACACAAACACGACACATGCATGCAAGTACACAACACACACGTGTGCACGCGCACACAGACAGACACACACATACACACACACACACACACACACACACATGTGCACACATACACCCATACAATCACAGCAAACAGAGAGAAAGAGGGGCAGGGGGGGGGCTCTGAGAATTATTTGCACATTCCAACCAGTCTGTCATTGGTTCTAGATTAGAAAGTAGGGGTGTTCATTGCACGTGCACAGTAAGTACACATCAGCTACCACTGAATGGTAGTCATTGTTGCTATCATCATGCGGCTATGACATGGTACGGAACACCCTTAACTTAGGCTTCGAAACCACATCATGGATGTCTGTACAACTAGCATGCCTGTAACTCTGTGCTTCTCAGTGTGCACTTGCTTAGCTCCTTATGTAGCTAAGCAGTGGAATTTGTACACACTGGTTTTCATGACCGGTTCACGTTTCTTCCTGCTTGTGTAGTAATTAATGAGTAACGTAGTAACGTAGCTGTTAGCAAGTACCTCTGTGATGTACTTCATGCTGTCATTCAGCTTGCCCAGCCTTCTCATCAGGTCAATGACCCGAGCCAGGGCTGCAAAGTTGTCTAAGGCACAAAGACACCGGTACAATCAGCTAGTCAATACTACAGCAAGTTCAGAGTAGGAAAGAGTGGTAGCAACCTCGGCCATAGTACAGGAAGTGAGCGTTACATATAGCAGCCGGCCCAGTCACGGTAACAGTTACATGTACTTGCAGTACCAGTGGTAAGCCAGTGGTAAGCTGGTAACAGACACTGAGCACAATTGTTCCGAGAGAGACATGCTGCTGCAAAACTAATGTCGATCGAAGGTTTCAATATCAACACACACGACACGATGAGGAGGAGGAGGAGGAGGAGGAGGAGGAGGAGGAGGAGGAGGAGGAGGAGGAGGAGGAGGAGGAGGAGGAGGAGGAGGAGGAGGACGGGGAGGAGGAGGAGAGAGAGAGAGAGAGAGAGAGAGAGAGAAAGAAAGAAAGAGAGAGAGAGAGAGAGAGAGAGAGAGAGAGAGAGAGAGAGAGAGAGAGAGAGAGAGAGAGAGAAAGAAAGAAAGAAAGAAAGAAAGAGAGAGAGAGAGAGAGAAAGAGAGAGAGAGAGAGAAAGAAAGAAAGAGAGAGAGAGAGAGAGAGAGAGAGAGAGAGAGAGAGAGAGAGAGAGAGAGAGAGAGAGAGAGAGAGAGAGAGAGAGAGAGAGAGAGAGAGAGAGGGAGAGAGAAAGAAAGAAAGAAAGAAAGAAAGAAAGAAAGAAAGAAAGAAAGAAAGAGAGAGAGAGAGAGAAAGAGGGAGAAAGAAAGAAAAAGAGAGAGAGAGAGAGAGAGAGAGAGAGAGAGAGAGAGAGAGAGAGAGAGAGAGAGAGAGAGAGAGAGAGAGAGAGAGAGAGAGAGAGAGAGAGAGAGAGAGAGAGAGAGAGAGAGAGAGAGAGAGAGAGAGAGAGAGAGAGAGAGATGCAGCCCAATCTCTACACAAGTCAATTAGGACACAACTATTCCAATCATTATCTTTCAATCATCCTGGCCTTGTTCCTTAGCCATAAAAAGTGCATGCACATAGGACGTCGCAAGGTGTTGAGCATCTGAGAAACATCAGCAGTATTGTTGATATGATTACTATGCATAGAGAGGTTTCACCAAATCAACGGTCAGATATAAATAGATGCGGTGTATACTCTGGCCTAATCCTCACTTGGTGATCGTCCAAGAATCTGTTCGTAATGGAAGGTAGCAGTGTCGTATTGCAGCTTCCGCAGCTGCACCTCAGCCAGCATCTGCGGTAAGAGCCGGGACCAACCAGAAAGCGTGTTCAACCCTTGGCGAGCACATATGAAGACTATCCATTGTAACATGTAGAGGTCAAGATGCCACTGGTGCACTCCCTAGCTCTCGTGCTTACAGGCACTAGCCCCACCTGCCACCACCACCACCGCCACCACCACCGCCACCACCACCAACCCATAGACCACACCGGGGTATGGAGTTTGTAAAGACCGCACAGTAATGGAGTAGTCACGGTTTAGACATAAACTTTTAAAATACAACGGAAGTAAGCCCTTCTATTTCTGCATGGTAATACTGAGCAGGCTTGGTCGTAAATCGTCCAAGTGTCATACAAAACTAGACACAAAACTGCTTTAGCTCATTTTCAGCTTTGCCAGAGCAAATCACTAAGTTCCTTTCTACATTGAAATCAAAAGTTAAAAAATAGCATTACTTCGAAGTAAATCTATGCAACATGCCGGTACATGTTGACATACTGATACTGTGCAGTCAGCAATTTTCACAATGACTCGGTGAATTATTCTCCAATCCCAGTTACCATTGTGGCTTGTTCATGGTCTTGGGCATGGCGCAGTATAGTCACGCAGTGTTGCTGACATGCATCAGTATTATCCATACTCAGATACAGCTCTGCCAATGCGATCAATGCCTTTAATCACATCAAATACACATGCGCCCACACATGCACACGCGCGCGCACACACACACACACACACACACACACACACACACACACACACACACACACATCATCATCATCATCTCAACACATACAGCAACAATGATAATGTCAGTCACAGCACCACTGAAAACGGCATCAACACTATCAAGACATGTTGAACAACAAAGCATGTGCCACTGCAGAACTACAATAATTTTCATTGGCATTCGGAAACATAAAGGCATTCGCCTTTGCCAGATTTTATTTGTGCCTTATCTACATCCATTCGATTATCTGTCCGCCTGCCTACCCATGCACCCATCTTCCCATCCTTTCATTTACTCACTCGTGCGCTCATCCTTTCATCCTAAATGATGGATACCGGCTACAGTCCCAATGTGCTCAAAGCAATGAATAGAGGGCTAGGCGTATGTTGACTACATGTAGTTACCCAGTAGTGTACTATCGAGTAGTGTTGAGTAGTGCTGGGAGCAGTACCCAGAGTATTGCTGCTAACACAGGCAATGGTTCATTTGCTAACCAAGCCTCTAACACAGGCAATGGTTCATTTGTTAACCAAGCCTCTAACACAGGCAATGGTTCATTTGTTAACCAAGCCTCTAATGAACAGTTGGTGGACAAGTCATTGGTTAGCCACTCTCATTGTAAAATATAATCCGTTTCCGTTTTTTTATCGACCAAGAGTGGCGCATATGATTAGCAAAGAAAGAATTTTTTTACGATAATTTCCAGATATTTCGTCTTTCTAAACAACATTGTCAATGGATAAAGAAAGCATTCCTAATCCACTGACGATGTTGTTTGGAAAAGCATCGCAACAATGTCTATCTTTGTCTATCATGTGCACCACTCTTGGTCTATAAAAAAGGATTATAATTATGATTTATATCAAGCCTGTATTGTTCCCATGGCTATAACATTTAATTAAGCTAACCAAGCCTGCATTGTCACCACGACTACAGCACTTGCTACCCCAAGCCAGTATCGCTATTATGGAACACTGGAATAGTAGGAGAATTTAGGGCACTGTGACCACCGCAATGTGCGGATATCCTCTACCGGTACAGCAGTGAGTGTTCGCACCTTCTCGTAGTTCTCCACAAAGAGAAGTGCCTCCTGGAAGAGCCGCACTGCGGCTTCATGGTCGCGACGTTTGATGAAGAGCACCGCTGACCGACAACAAATGCTGGACATGGAACAAAGAGCATAATATACTGCATTACACATGCATTACACATGCATCCAATTCATATCCTGAATAGACCCAGTAATATTGTACTGATGTTGAACAGCTGACTAGTTCAGTGTCGTCAATTCTATTGGACGAACTGTTGCTCTCCTCGCCACTCCACACCACAACAAAAGACTAGTGCACATTGGGAGAGAGCGTTTTCTCTAACTTGATTTCACAAGGCGACTGGAGAACTGCGCTCCAACAAAACGGACAAGAGAATATATTATGGGGACGTGGAGAAAAGAGGGGAAAAAGTGGGGTGAGGGATACGAAAGAGGTGCCTGTGCAAAGTACAAGGCCTGAACAGGACGGGAGACAAAGACGAACGACGGGGAAATACGACGGACACAAGACGGCAACCAGACAAATACAACGGAGACAAGACGAGAAAATGTGTATGCAACGGGGACGAGATGAGAAATAATGCATACGAAGGGGACAGAAGACGGTGCAGCGGCATGTACAAAGCGTTCCAAGACAGCGCAGCGGCGTGTACCACGGGTCAGCAGCATGTACGACACAGAGACACAAGCGCAGCCACATGTTCGACAAAGAGCAACCCGCGCAGCCGCATGTACGACACAGAGCTACAATGCGCGACCACATGTACAACATCAGTATTTCCGTCTGAAGTTTTTTTTAAATTAAAGTAACCACATACGTGTGCATGTGAACGCCAATTTGATAGTAGTCTGCACAGTAGCACAGTGTCTTGTACCGTAGGTGGTACCAGTCACAGTGCGGTGACGACAGTGGACTAAATCATTCTAAAAAAAGCTACCAAAATGGCATTGAGCCAGATTTGAACTCGAACTACTGGATCATTGAATGGAAAGGAAAAAAACCTGGCATGATCAGCAAGTCACAGCAAAGAAACGCTTACTCAGCTGCTCTCTGGCGTTCAACTTTCAAGTCTCCAGATGCTGGCTCGGCGCTTGGCTTGATAGATCGAAGCAACCTTGCACATACCGTACGAACACGAAACACAAATCACCCTCACTCATGTAGATTGATTGGCACAGACCGTTTGATTGACCAGGGGCGTTGTGAGCCTGTAGCCCATAAGTTCACCCAGTGGACAGGTCAAAAAGAGTATGATCACCACTAACCATGCCTATGGACACACATTTCATTACAACCGATTCGGGTGCAGCCGGGGTATACAAGGAGTAAGATAATAGGGAATTTTCATATAAACCATGATAGTAATTTACCTATTCTCGGGTTGCATTCTGATATCACATTGTGATTCGCAAATTGGTGTTTGATAGTTGCAGAGGTAGATCTACTAGGTGCGAAAATGCAACAACAGTGCAGGCAGCTCGGAGTTGTATATAATTGACTCCCGCCTGGAATGCACGATCCCAGCAGTGTTGTTTTGTACTGACTTGATCATCGAAATCCAAACGGGTACCCTTTTACTAACGGTACCTGGGATTAACGGGCGGGTACCCGGGTACCCGGAACACCCCTTTGACCCCTATAAGATAATGATGTCATTACAGCATTTTGGCATACTGGGACTGGGAGTAAGAAAATTATGTCATTACAGCACTTTGGTATACTGGCCCATTACTGGGAGCAAGACAATGATGTCATTACAGCACTTTGGTATACTGGCATTACTGGGAGCAAGACAATGCTGTCATTACAGCCATCTGGCATACTTGTATTAAGACAACGGATGTCAATAACAGCATATTACAGTTCACCTTGTCCTTGTCTATATTGTGTATCTTGTTCACAGTATATTCTCCCATGTTCAACATAACTATCTTACACGTTTGGAAACGACACAAGAGCAACACCGGTTCACAATGGCGTAGCCTCTGCGCATGATCCGGGAAAACCTTTTTAGAGAACCTCAGGGTTCTTGCCCATTACCCATCTTTCATTTTGTAGGCAATTGGTAATATAAGGCTCGAACACTGGAGGTTAAGAATTTAAGAGTCTCATGCTCACAGCCAGAGCTAGTCGGGTATGACTAATCATCGACAGCGTTCAACCTACTTGGATTGCTCTTCCTTTGCCCTCTCAAGATGAGAGAGAGCCAGCTGGTCACTGGTTTTCTCGGTTACAGTTGCTAACAATAGCAGGTACTTGACCCTTTCCTTCACGCTCTCAGCTTCATTGCCTGCTCAGCAAACCAGGAAAACATATTGGCACGCATGCATCCACCCACATGCATCCGACCACAAACACATACACAAACACACACACACACACACACACACACACACACACACACACACACACACACAATCTCCAGTGTGTAAGATGACTGACACAATGCTAAACGACAGTCACGGCCATCTTTGTACACAGTGACTAACCAGACATCCACATGGGTGAATATCTCATGCCCCTCTGCGACTACGTAGCTGCACCCATTGCGTATTTCCAGGAACAGTTCTGTAGACGATGGCCATGATCTCTACGGGGGTCCCTACACGTAACAGTGGCTGTAACTCTTCACCCTCCTTCCTACCTTCTTCTGCAGCCAGTGCAGCACTGCATAGCTTCTCAACTTTGTCGTACTGGCGCAGTTTCAAGTGGAGCTCAGCCAGATCAGAGCTGCCACAAAAAATACAAGAAAACAATAACAACAACAACAACAACAACAACAACAACAACAACAACAACAACGACGACGACGACGACGACGACGACGACGACGACGACGACAACAACAACAACAACAACAACAACAACAGCAGCAGCAGCAGCAGCAGCAGCAGCAGCAGCAGCAGCAGCAACAACAACGGCAGACTAACAGTTAAGCTATGCACTGTATGCAGCTGCACCGGCACCCTATTTTAAAAGTATTTTAAACCCATATTGACATAATGCAACTCAATTCGCATCAAAATCAGAGCAGGACAGACATGCGAGGATACATGAATCTTGAATGCTCAATCTCCGGACAGCTCCTAGGCTGTTTCGATCTTGTTAGATTCGTCAGCAGAGCTCATGGTTACTGGCTGAACTGGTCACAATGAGGTCTAATGAACGACAAAGCCATTTTAAACCAGCTCAAAGGCATCAAAGTCAGAGTACTCTAAATGCGATAAACACAACGAGCTTTTCACAACGGTAGATAACTCCGCCGCTAACCAGAAAGAGGGTTCAACCAAGTCGTGGCAAGGGAGTGTAATACTCAATCTCTGGATTGTACACAGCCCAAAGCCCAGTCCAACATTGAAATGTCTGAACACAGCGGCCTAAAGCCTGGGACAACACCGACATGCTTGAACAGAGCCCAAAGACAAGAAAAACACTAGTTTAGCAAATAGTCTGAATACAGCAGCCTAACGCCAAGGACAACACTAAAACAAACGTACCGTAGGCTGGCCTGTTTGGACACTTTGTAAGCCGTCTCATAGTATGTGATAGCCTGTACAGGAGAACAACATCCAGTACAGCACTATAAACTGACCATCACTATACCACAATCATGGTGTTAACCATATCTTGTCGTCATATGTGTACATGTATATTATTATTATTATTAACTTTTATTTTACTAGGGTGTTTCCCACAGACCTATGGTCTTTTTAAGGGAGCCCCTGGCCTAGGAAGGTTATGCATGAGCGAATAAATGAGCGGTAATCGGTACAAGTACGAACAGTGGATACATGACATCACATCATTATGTAAGCCAGGCCTTAACTTACTACAGGTGGAATCCTGATAATTCGAATATGGCTTAATTCGAACATACCGCTTAATTAGAAGTTTTTCCAGGACCGATTTCTGTCGATACGATTCCCACATAAAAAATTCTGATAATTCGAACCTCGAACCGGACATGTCCGATTATTTCGAAGTTCCACGGATTCCACTTACATAGAAAATGTGTGGGATTTGCGCTCATAATTCGAAGTTAGCAAAGTGTAATTCGAAGTTCACTGTACACTGTACTGATCAGTTCAGTTTGCATGAGCAGGCTGTGCTGGTCAGTTCAGTATTCGTGAAATCTGTGTCTAAGGTCCATAGCGCAACTCTGTGTGACCATGGGAGCATTTTGACATACATATTGTGTTGTGGGGTCATGTTTGGATAATTAGAATGTCCGGATAATTAGAAGTTTTTTCCTGGCATTTTGAGGTTCGAATTATCAGGATTCCACCTGAATTATCAGGATTTCACCTGAATTATCAGGATTTCACCTGTACCAGTACACAGATACTTGTATTCGGGCCAAGTCCTACAGCAACATACAACATATCCAAAAGGTGCTGCTTGTGTTTAGCAGAAAAGTTGCACATCATCACCTTCAAGATGCCTCACACTCTGCTCAACAAGAGGTCGGAGTTGGTATCAAAGTGCAGACACCAAAACAAGTTCTACCTCTCCACCTACTCTGCCGTGACATAGCCACCGCATGCTACTGCTACCACTATCACCGCCACATCCTCTGAATACCCGCGGCTGTTGAATGTGGACACCACAGTGTGCTTCCACCGCCACACATCACACCCCCTGCCCAGTGCCCCCATGGCTTACCCTTGCCCTGCCTGGTGGTTTCTCGGCCTCTGCACGCTCCATGCATAGTTCGCGCCTACTGCGCATGCCCATCCAGTGATGTAATTCTTATCACTCGCTCTTCCCATGCATGCCCTGCATTGATAGCTCACACCTCCTCTACATGCCCATGTGTATCCCCCACAATAAGAACAAGCTATCCCGCGACAAAAGCATTAGTTGTCTGATGATCGCCTTAGCATTTAGCTACGTGCATGAAACGCAGCGTTACAACGTATGTATATATAATTGGTGGAACCATTCTTTTCGACCTTTGTGGTTACGCTCCTCCCTTGTGGTGTTGAGCACTGTTGAAACCTGGGTATACCCACTTATGTGCAGATACTTGAACATATAGTTGTGGCCAAAGAAATCCGACCAACGTGCCGAAAGCAGCGGCAAGGCTCATGCGGCCCCTGCGACCATCGGATGGGTTTTTGTACAGGCGGAATCCTGATAATTCGAATATGGCTTAATTCGAACATACCGCTTAATTAGAAGTTTTTCCAGGACCGATTTCTGTCAATACGATTCCCACATACAATTTTCTGATAATTCGAACCTTGAACCGGACATGTCCGGTTAATTCGAAGTTCCACGGATTCCACTTAGAAAATGTGTGGGATTTGTGCTGATAATTCGAAGTTAGCAACGTGTAATTCGAAGTTCACTGCACACTGCACTGGTCAGTGCAGTTTGCATGAGCTGGCTGTGCCTGTCAGTTCAGTATCTGTGAGATCTGTGTCTAAGGTCCATAGCGCAACTCTGCGTGACCATGGGAGCATTTCGACATACATATTGTGTTGTGGGTTCATGTTTGGATAATTAGAATGTCCGGATAATTAGAAGTTTTTTTCTGGCATTTGGAGGTGCGAATTATCAGGATTCCACCTGTACCAGACTGAAAATTACTCAATCTAGGAATATAGCTGCTCTCATGACAACGAAAAGGCGACGAGGAGACAATAACTTTATTAATGCGATTAATAGTATAAGTGAAGCGGACATTACAAAATGATGAATGAGAATACATGTATCTAAAATGGTTGTTCCTAATCGATTTTCTTGAGACTATCATCAGGGAAAATCGTCTCACAATAGAGGCTATACGGAGAAACAAACTACTTATAGGTTATCAGATAGTGGGAAGTATACAAGGTGAGGTGTGAAAAAAACTAAAGTGGGAGAGAAGACGAAAGAAATTAGAAGAAAAGATGTAAGAGTGTTCTGACGGTGTGAGCTACTACAAAAGGTGAGTGAAATGAAGGCGTGGAAGCAGGTGAATGTGATAGAGTGAGGAACTGTGAGGTGTAGGTGTATGCGAATGAATACGTGTGTGAATGCTAGGTGAAGAGTCTCAGTTTTGTGACATTTTCTTTCTGAATGCATAGATTAGGATTGTGTTTACGGATGAAAACAGCTTCTAATACCTTAAGTTCACGAAACCTACGAGCACGACACAAAACAGTGAAGCATGAATCATCATACACTGAGCGGCATTGGCTACTAGACAAGAGGTGTTTCTTAATGGCTGACCCTTTCGTTGTGCTCTCACCTTCAGTCCGGTCATCTTCATCTTGGTTGTCCAACTCACTCTCTTCATCACTGCTCTCACCTTCCTCATCCTCCTCCTTGTTTGTCTTTTCTCGATGTGTTAGTCGAGAAAACGGAGATGGGTGTTTCAACTTCAGTATATCGAAAACCAACGTTCACCGGGCAATACATTGTCTACGACTCCTATTGCTCGACTTTATACAAAACTAATCTCGTATGAAATTTGATCATGCGCGCTAGGCGGATTTGCTCGCCTGATAAGCTTCAGCAAGAGCTTTGTTTCCTGAAGAAGGTATTCGTTCAGAATGGATATCCTGTTCAGCTCCTCAGTAAGCTGTTTAGCGAACCTGATATTCAGGCTGCCGAGCCTGAGTTTGGACCTGACCCATGTCGTGTGTTTTTACGACTTCCATGGAAAGGTCAAATTTCGCTGGATGTGGCCCGCGCCGTGAGGACTGTTGTCAGACAAACCTATTTTGCCACAGCATTGACAACAGTCTTTACTACGGCCCGTGCGTTCACGGTGAAGAAGGATGTTCTTCCTACCCAACTGATTAGCCATGTAATCTATCATTTTGAATGTCGGCATTGTGATAGCCGATATGTAGGAAGAACCCTTCAGCACCTGAACGCACGCGTCAAACAACATGTACCATTGTACCTATTGTCAGATGGAGCCAAAGCCCAGCGACCTGGACGAGGCCGTCCCCGCAAACAGGTGCCAATTGCACAATTACAACAGAACCACACGGTACCGGTTGAACGGACTACAAGTACACAGGTACGTGAGACTGAAGGAAATGGCCAAACACAGGTACGGAGACCAGTAACTAGGAGCATGACTCGTGCGCTGGTAATAGCATCTACAACCGGACATGGACTGGCAGCGAGCAGTAGCGTGGGATTGTCGTTGGGTGCAGAGGACGGGATGGAAGCGGAGGAGGATGAGGAAGGTGAGAGCAGTGATGAAGAGAGTGAGTTGGACAACCAAGATGAAGATGACCGGACTGAAGGTGAGAGCACAACGAAAGGGTCAGCCATTAAGAAACACCTCTTGTCTAGTAGCCAATGCCGCTCAGTGTATGATGATTCATGCTTCACTGTTTTGTGTCGTGCTCGTAGGTTTCGTGAACTTAAGGTATTAGAAGCTGTTTTCATCCGTAAACACAATCCTAATCTATGCATTCAGAAAGAAAATGTCACAAAACTGAGACTCTTCACCTAGCATTCACACACGTATTCATTCGCATACACCTACACCTCACAGTTCCTCACTCTATCACATTCACCTGCTTCCACGCCTTCATTTCACTCACCTTTTGTAGTAGCTCACACCGTCAGAACACTCTCACATCTTTTCTTCTAATTTCTTTCGTCTTCTCTCCCACTTTAGTTTTTTTCACACCTCACCTTGTATACTTCCCACTATCTGATAACCTATAAGTAGTTTGTTTCTCCGTATAGCCTCTATTGTGAGACGATTTTCCCTAATGATAGTCTCAAGAAAATCGATTAGGAACAACCATTTTAGATACATGTATTCTCATTCATCATTTTGTAATGTCCGCTTCACTTATACTATTAATCTCATGACAACGTCTGTCAGCCACTATTAAAATGTGCTTTGAGTCAGAGTGTTCTCTTGGTGCCTCTTGGTGTTAAAAAAGGCATTTGACACATTGTTTTGTCACGTACAGGAGTGAAGTACATGGACAAAGTTTCCCTCGTTTGCAAACTCAGGTATTGGTGATTAGGAAACGTCAATTGACCTGTAACACGTTCATTGTCATGACAATGCATGCATAAATGGTATCTGTGTGCGTAAACTTCCTCAACTCATGATGAAGTGCAAACATATTGTAAGGTGCTCAAACTAATAAGCAGTGATTTATACTTGATAATCCCTAGCTCATCTAGATTGATGTCCACTCCCAAAAAGTCTGGCCAGTTATACGTACACATGTATACATGTATACATGCACAAGGAACATGAAATCATTGGTAAGCGGCGCCCATCATTTATAAGCCACCCCCGGTCCACCCCGGTCCTCCAGAGTCATGCTAACATTGTGTACAGATTGAGCAAACCCAAATCTAAATAAGCCAGAAATTCTATGAGCAGCAGGTGGGGCCCGTACATTAGACAGCTAGATATAAACATCAATGGCGCTCACCTTGGTGAAATTGTGTGTCCGACTCAGCGCTTTTCCTGCTTTGCATGCCAGCTGACCATTGTGAGGATCTTTGCGGAGTGCAGCTTGATATGCTTCCACAGCCTTCCCAGGCTACACACGCACACAGTTAGTGAGATAACAAAAATGGAGAATGGGATTATGTTAGACTAACATGTTCTTCTCTTCCCTTCATTCAGCAATATTTCCGGTGCTGTTGAAGCCTCTGCTAAGCAAAATGCCAGTTCCCACATGAGCTTTAACTCATGCAAACCCCAGTGTAATGCAGCATGGCGGTCGTACAACAACACCGTGTGAGTGAGTGACATTCATCGGTATACAGCAAAGGAAACAGTCGTGCTGTAGTATGTAGGTGCAGCAGGGCTGGGGGCTAGATGTCACGACCAGCCACATACACGTACTTCATGGATGCCAATATTCGCCGCAAGGGCTTCTCTGATCACACCTTCCTGAGACACTTATCTACAGCATATCAGTTCCTACATGGAAGAGATTGAAATAATACACACACACACACCTCCTTGATGGTCATGTAGGCATCTCCCAGCAGATCATCAGCATGGGTACTGCCAATGGTGGTCGCTACTTCTCTGCACGACAGTAGACAACACAGCACGAAGAAAAACCGGCGACACACGTTATCATACAGTTTCCGGGAGGCTGGTGCCAATTACTATTCTAGAACATGGACTGTGTAGGTTTGCAGATCTGGTGGAGGAAAGTCAACCTGACCTACTCTAATGCCAACCATGAAGAATAGTCAGATATCTTTACCTCAAGCCAATGAATAGTCAGATACATTTGCATTTCACAACTAAATATTGCGACAGAGCTTTCAGCCATATTTCCAATTTATTGCATTCCCAACTCGTCACAACCACGCGCTCTGAGCCGAACCATACAGACACCAGCAAGGACACTTCCGTTGAGAGATAATATTTGTTCACGCCCGGTCTAGACAGCTGTTTCGCTCCCTGCCGGAGCTCATCAGTAGAGGATGATAATGATGATAATGGAGTGTAAAGGAATGGTCATTCTGATACAGCATTGCATTTCCATGCAACTATTTCCTGAATGTCACTGTGCTTGTATCAGAAAAGAAAAGAAATCCCCTTATCATGAACATGATGCAGGAGCCACCCGATTACTGCACCGTCAATGTAGCATGTACTGACACCCGGTTACTGCACCGTCAATGTAGCATGTACTGACACCCGATTACTGCACCGTCAATGTAGCATGTACTAACACCCGATTACTGCACCGTCAATGTAGCATGTACTAACATGAAGCATTTGATGTAGGACGACTTGTCATGTCTTTGCTTCAGAAATATCTCAGCCATCTTTTGCCGAGATTGGATGTAGAACCTGGAGTGTAGAGATGAAAGGATACGACATCATCAGGCTACAATCCGGATACAACATTATCTATCACCAGGACACATCATTGACAACCATGGCAGAGCCGGCAACATGACATTGTACACGGTATACAGGATATTTCCGGGCCCTTGCAGAAGTAACATGCAGCAACTGCAAAGCACAGCACAAAATAGTCTATGGACAGGCATGCATGGGCATGGGCATGCATGCCCTATTTACAAGCTATACTCTGATTTTCTGCATATTAGCTACAGCAGTGTACATTCAACTTCACTTTCACCTAATAGTCTGCCTAGCCTACATCTCACTTGTCAGTTGACTTGATGGAGCGCAGCATTGTCAGTGCTGCCTCAATATCCGTCATTGCCAGCAAATCTGCATGTGCTACCGTGGTCCTGAGAGAACATGGAACAGAGAAACACCGTGCCGTGAACTAGACAACCTGCTGTAGTTACAATACCGATGGTATATAAACACCCATTGTACATGTGATCCATTCCAGGCTATAATGATACACATAGGAGCAAAATTGGAAGCAAAGGAAACTTGCAAGACACTAGAGACGGAGGCAACAAAAGAAAGAGTGAATGAGCCATGTTGGTACAAACTTACGTTCACTGTGGGGTGGCATTTATTAAGTGATGCAAGATACACTCGGTGGTGCACTCGCAGTCTTTTTCTCCCTGATATGCACAGCTCTTCCACGAGCCTCTCTGTGGGCTCTTCTTTACAAACATCGTCCATTCACATCATCTCAAGTGTCTCCCTTTATCAATAAGCAAGGTCGAGTCTTCAGGCCTCTTTTTTTACTTAAAAGTGCCCACACTTGTCACCTGTTGCTTTTATGGCAGACCCGGCGCACCAGCTCCGGCTTTATTTCATGAGCTGCGTGTCAGCAGGGGTGAAACTGCCATTCGTAAAACAATGACGTACCTTGTCTACAGGACACTTGTACAGCACTGATCAAATACTGTATTGCCTACCTCAATTCTTCAGTGGTCCCTTGGAACAATTCTTTCGCTTCATTGACCAATTTCAGTGCTTCTACCTGTGGAAGAATGGAAGATAGGAAGAAGAAAAGGAGAGAAGGGTCAACATCTCAAGAATCAAATAAATATCTTGAAAACTGAGTAAACCGGTTCATCAGACAGTGTCAGTCGTCAGCTCACAGTGCATTGCTGGGTAGAGCATGGGCCATGGGGCTCCATTAGACATCAACCAGTGACGTACATTATAGCCATTGGGCCTCACTGATCAAACACAGAGTTATTGAACACACACAAAACAGTGAGTAATTCTCCTCTTCAGCCGATGATCAGCAACATAACTGGCTGTGTGTGTGTGTGTGGGGGGGGGGGGGGGGGGGGGAGCTATGTCCAGTGAAATCCTCACCTGCTGCTGGGACTCCTTGTACACTTTCACCAGGTCCAGAAAGATACTGGCACGCTCAGACACAGTTACACTCTTGCTAGCATCTGGGCAAGTACCGATAAGAGCATGTGCAAATGTATGATTATCACTGGAACATTCTCTACGGACAGAGGCGTTGAATAGGTCTATGTTAAACAAAGGCTGCAGAGCTGTTAGAAGAGTTTATGACTGCATGCAAACCATGGAGCACTAGTATAGAGTAAAGCCTGGTTTAAACTGCCAGGTCACGGGTCCCCAGAACAAGGTCCCATACATTTGCGGAATCATGACCAGATCGAGCACATGCCTCCATGTAGGTGTACTGATAATGAGGGCAGGTGTGTTGACTATTGGGCATAGAACACTTTCATGCAGACGTAACGAGGCACTCATGACTTTTCACACCTCACTCAAGTACAGTGCTGCTCAATGACATCCAGTCACAGCGTCCCTCAAATACGCGCCCGGCGTTGCGCAGCCCTAGACCTGCGAACACTGGCCTGCGAAAAGGTGCAAGGCGCAAATTTGAGTGACACGACTGGATTTCATTGAGCAGCACTGTACTTTGAAGTACATGCAGCAGCACCGGTGACCCTACATTGTTACTAAATGAGTTTTGTCACTTTAGTTGACTGCATGCAGTCGCTTCTGAGCGCACTTCAACCCTGTTGCAGTCAAGCCTGCCAGCCAGGACAGCACTTGTGGCCAATGCATGCAGGTCAGATGTGGCAATCGGTACACTAAACGTTGATCGCCGGTCACGCTACACAGGTGGTCACTGTTTCCAGTACAATTTCTCTGCAGAGCTGCCAGTGCATGGAAAACGCTCGTTAACATCAGGTGGTTGCTAACACCAGGTATCGCCTAAACTGCAATATTGTTAGAAAATTCAAGATGGACGCATTGGCAAACTTGGATGGCATTCTAAAGCAATTCTAAGTTATACATGTACTGGTGGAGTAAGGTGAAAACCCCTCACAGTAGCTGATGCATTAGTTGTCGCATGAAGTACTTTGCATTTCGGGGGGGGGGGGGGGGGGGGAGGAGGAGCCGTCCTGCACGGATCAATAGTCACAGATCTTCCAAACTTGGGGTCGAACGACTCGAAACACCTTGCTTTTATGTACTGGTCTCCTGTGGTGGTGTCCTTAGCTGCTACGACTCCCAGGGATCTAGCCAGGTCAACATAGTAGGGGGGGGGGGCAGGGGAAACAGTTACCCCGTAACCCCTTTTCCATTTTCAAAAGTTGTCTGGCTATGCCAAATGCAACATATGGGGGTGAACAGGCGCGTACGCAGGGTCACTTCTAGGGGGGTTTCCAACCGAATCCCAAACAATGAGTTTTAAGTTTTAACCCTTTCTAGAGAGCCCTAGGAAATTTTCAAAATTATGCATTTTTCGTGTTGTTTGGATCATAACTTCAGTTCTACTCACTCAATCTTCATTATCTTGGGCTTCCTGGAAGTGGAAAGGTACCAGGGAGAGAATGAGGTCGACCATAATAGCCAGGACACAGTACAGTCATGTAGATCTACATGTACATATCCACCGCTATAGCCGTATAGGCTATAGCGGTAGAGTGCAGCGACGGTGCGAAAATTGCCCCAAACAGGCCCAAACGCGTCCTGCTCCAGCGATTTCGTTTCTTGATCGCAGATTTTCGATTTTTTGCTGTGTACTCTTGAAAATATCACAAGTGAAGCCCCTGCAAATTTGATGAAATCAGGAAATCAGCGCGACGAAAATCTCAAATTCTCGATACTCAAGTCGCACTGCGCGCTTTTGAAATTACCGAGATCGCGGCTCAACTTACGAATGATTTATCTCACGATACATTGCTCGCAGCGCTTCGTACATTGTTTCAACCGACAGCTGAGAGTTTTCTATTCGACCTGGATATTTTGATCGTTGGATTCGAGCGAGATTTGACTGAGTTACGATCTTTTGAAGTTTTGCATTCTTGCCAGATTGATCATGCATCCTACCAAAAACTGCCCAAAAACGTTGCTCGTTTGGAACATTTGGGGGGTTTCCGGGCAACGGGAAACCCCCCCCCCCCCTGCGTACGCGCCTGGTGAACCCCCGACTCCACGCCAGGCAAATCCACCTTTATGAAGCCTCTAGTAGTAGCAGTGACTATCGACTGCATTTTCATTGAATGGCAAGAAAAAAACACAAAAATCTACAAATGAGTAGGGGTACCACTTTTTCATGCGGGGGGGGGGGGGGGGGGCAGGAGGGGCTCAATCAGAGCAGGAGGGTGCTATGCCCCCCCCCCCCCCCACACACACCCTTGGCTAGAACCCTGGACTCCCATATCCCACAGGTTCACGCGAAGGAAACCAGGGGTCAGATTTTACTTGCCGCAACTATATTTCCAAGTACTTCCTACAGTGTCAAGGTGATCATCATCTGAGAGTATTTCAATACCCACCGCGTTTGCGTACTCCGGGCAAGCCAAGTGCAGTGACTAGTGATGTCTCCGCTCCATTCATGTTATCTTCCATCATGCATGCACGTGCTTGCAACAGATGAAACTGAGGAGAATCTCGAACCTTATGAAAGAAAATGAAGAAGAAGACAAATCGGTAAAGCACAACACGTTCATGCGTGTATGGTCACGCTAGCTAATTGCTGGTCACACTAGCTAATTGTCGGCGATGCTGAAACACATTGTGGTATTAGTATATTTCGTATGAATGGTTCTCCCCCAGGAGAAGGGATACCCTTACCGCACAGCGTGGTGTGACAAGGGAATAGGGGAGGTGTACCCCCCCCCCCCCCTCTCTCCCTCTCCCCATCGTCATGGTTAGACGGCTGGGAGGATACATGTGGTAGCTATCTTAGCCACAGCAGCCAGTAGTATGATAGATGCTGAGCAAGGAAGTGAAGGGCTGCCCTACCTCAAAGTTGTAGCTGAGACCAGCTTCAAGGTGCTGTTTGCACTGACGGACATCACCCTTCAATAGAGATACCTGCACAGTTCACACATGTGGATACGGAAACATGCACACACACACATGCACACACATGCACACACACACACACACACACACGCATGCGCACACACACACACACACACACGCACGCGCACGCACACACACACACACACACACACACACACACCACATGTTACCAAGCAGATGGTAATGCTGACATCATGCCAGAAATCCACAACACATTTCTCCGAACTGCAAATAAAAATGCATGTGTGTGTAGTAGAACGGAACACAATCTACATTTGGAAATTTCCATGAGAAGTACATACTTCTGCGTTCAATAGCAAAGCTGGCGAGTAGGTTGAATCCAGTTTCAAGCACTGGACAAGTGCAACATGTGCCCGGGTTAGGTTATCTTCAGCAAACACCAGCAAGAAAACAGAAAAAAGACCATGATGAATCATAGCATACTTGGTACTTGATACACATCCTGCACCCCGAAAGCAAGCTGCAGGCAAGCACAGTTGATAGTGGAATGGGTTTTTTTCCTTGGATCTGCGGTCAAGAAAAAGAAAAAAGAAAAGAGAACTCATGACAGCCGCTAACACCAGCTAAACCCTAGCGGGAGATGCAGCACCTAATGATGGATGCGAGGGGATAAGTCTCACAACCACTGGCACAAGTACCGAGAAACCCCAATAGCCGCATCCATCTACCCCTTGTGCCTGGCCACAAGTTCCCAGTTGACTGTGGGTAGCAGCATGGCTGGAAGAAACCGCTCCCCCCGCCGGGCAGCAGTCAATTAGAAACGTACGGTCTAGTACAAGCCGCATTACTCGGATGTGGTGGTGGTGGTGGTGGGGGGGGGGGGGGGTGTAGGCACTTTTTCTATCGTTTTGAGTCTAGACGTGACTATCACTGGCACCAGAGCATCAGCACCAGTAGCACCAGTAGCACCAGTAGCACCAGTAGCACCAGTAGCACCAGTAGCACCGGTAGCACCGGTAGCACCAGTAGCCACACCAATACAGTAGTGCCCTAACCATCAAGGTATTACATCTAGGATTATAGACTTGGTGGCAGTCAGAGCAAAATGCATGCTTGATGCACGATGCTTGGTGCACAATGCTTGGTGCAAAGTGCTCGGAGCACAGTGTAACTTATGTTATAACAAAACGCTGCCGGTACCACAGAGAAGGAATGATCAAATCCTCTTTCGAAGGATCACACAGCAGCAAGTAAGCTTGCTACACTAGAGAAATTGACTTGATGTTTGCTGCCTATGTAGGTATTCAGTTCAGACTGATCTTCTGTTGGCATTAGGAAAGGCAGCTAGAACTGGAACAAAAGTACCTCTGAGTAACCACATCTTGGCAGTGAGATATTGCGGCTCAATCAGTCCGGGAGCATTCTCAGTAAGTTCACTCAGTAAGTTTTCGCAGCAGTGCAGCACTTTAACTGAACTTGAGCTCTGACACAGCAAGAAGAACAGAAGAACAGAACAGCAGAACCATACAGTTTCATGTCTGGCATGTGGCCTCTCAGATGTGGTGTTCATCTTGCCGTCTAGCGTGTGCTCTTTTTGGCCGCAAGTAAGCAACTTCAAGCGCTGCAAGCAGTATCCTGGAATGCATGGATGAACACGGCTGACCGTTGGGTGCCGCTATACAGTATCTGCGCTACCCAAACACACAGGTAACAGTAAAAGTAGGTCGTACTGAACAAGTAAAGCGGTAAAGGGTCTCCAATGTATGATTTCAATATGTGATCAGCAATGTGACAAATAGTTTTCACAAGGTCCAACATTGACTCGCTTACAATGTTGTACAGCTCACCAACAACACATGTTACTTACATCCTCTTCAGCATACTTGAAGAGCATTTTGACAAGTCGCAGAACAAAGTCAGGATGAACAGCAGCAAAGTAGTCAATGCTCAGATGATGTCCCTGTTAAGTTAAACAAGCACACATATACATACATACACACACATACACACACACATACATACACACATACATTCACACATACACACATACACACACACATACACACACGCACTCCCCCCCCCCCCCCACACATACACATAGACACACATAGACACACCCATGGACACTTAAACAGATGTTGTGGTGGTGGCGGCTGCGGCGACGGCGGTCACGGGTGGTGGTCAGAAAGTCATTCTCCTGGGTGGACACCAACAACCAGTGTATGGCGGAGTACGTGGCGTGATGTGTGTGCGGGAAAAAAATGAAGAACGTCTACAAGTAGGGATTCATTGGCCAGAAAAAACCACTTCAAATAGCTGTGTGGTGTAGATCAGGCTGAATTGTGGCAGTCGATTCTTCAGCCTTGCAAGCTGTTGAATGGTGCAATCCCAGCACAAGTTGCTATAGCTTCTGCTGTAGCATCGCTATCATCGCCTCCGGCGACGGGTGTCAAAGGCCAAAAGTCCAAGGTGGTAGGAGTGGTGTGGGTGGTGGCGTTAGCAGTGGTACTCACCTTAGCAACTTCAGAATTGCACTGTGCAGCCGAACATAGCTTGTCCACAATGTCCGCTACTGGACTGCCTTTCTTCTCATCCAACAAGGCTCGTAGGTAGAATAGCTCCTACAGATGGACCATCCCAGCATGAAAGAGACAATATTTAAACATCACCAGACATCAAGGATTCGTCATAACGGCGAGTTTCATGCACTAAGCAATCATCAGATGATTGATCCGCCCTTGTCCACTGCTGCACTGCCACAGTTCCAGGGTCTAGATACTATTGAACACTTTGGCTTTGCAGCATAATTACACATGTACAGTGGACAGTGGCATGTACTTGTAATGAGTCAGGCTTTGGCAATGGGTACAGCATGGGGACCGAGGCATGAATTTCACTCCGTCCAGCGCTTTTCTGCTGTCTGCCTGCAGCACTTTGAACGGGGCTTTCTTACATTCTTTACCAGTGTATTGTGTGTGTGTGTGTGTGTGTGTGTGTGTGTGTGTGTGTGTGTGTGTGTGTGTGTGTGTGTGTGTGCGTGCGTGTGCGTGCGTGCGTGCGGGTGTGGGTGCGTAAAGCTGACACAGTGAAGTGTGGCTACTGAAACACCCAAAACTCATTCGGAAATAACCTTAGACGGCTAGATTTGTGTGTATGTGATACTAGTACTGCGGCAACACTCTTCCACGATGACCTGTGCTATCTAGACTAAAGCTGGGTCAGTCTCTTATCTAAAACAAATAAGAAGAGAAGAATCCATCCTAGTCATGTAATCAACCAGCTACTCAGTCTTCATACAATCTAGTCTGAAACAAAAACAGCCCAGTGAGGCCACAGACTATCACTTATCTAACATACAGGTGACTCAGCACCAGATGCTTGCAGCTCTGCCAAGAATTCCAGTTGCTGAGCAGCATCGTCAAGATCACCAAGCAGCATTTGACACCAGGTGATTCCTAACGGTTCAGCACGCAATACAGAATTACAACACAATGACATAATTACATTAGCAGATACTACTATGATATTAGCAGCTAGATAACCACCGCATTTTCCGGAGTATAAGCCGCACTTTAAGCCGGCACCAGTAATTCTGATTATTCACCCCAAAAAAAGTGGATGCGCCGTACACTATGATGTTTAAAATAACGGTGATAAATAGGGTACTAGTAGTTGTCTGTATTTCGTGACAAAAAAATTTGGGTGCGGCTTACAATCCGGAAAATACGGAAAATGACAATCTGCCAGAGATTAGGATTTTGACAAGCAACACATTTCAAGTACTGACGGTACCTTCTCTGAGCAACCCGGCTTTCTGGTTGAAATTCCCCATGAACCCCTCGAAGGATTCCTTGTATTTTCAAATGTCATGTCTTCATGAACACATGTAGTTACTTTCTGTTCTTGTTACCGTTCAGAGCAACTCCCCCATGCACCACCTACCAGTAAGTGCTGGCACGGAAGCATCATCAAGGTTCATTGCCTCTTTATAGAGTTTCAGAGCCTCCAGAGGTGATCGATTCTTCCCAGTGCTCATCAGAACTTGATTGGCTGACTGTGTGAGGGAGAGAAAGAGAGAGAGAGAGAGAGAGAGAGAGAGAGAGAGAGAGAGAGAGAGAGAGAGAGAGAGAGAGAGAGAGAGAGAGAGAGAGAGAGAGAGAGAGGAGGGAGGGAGGGAGGGAAAGAGAGGGAGGGGAGGGAGGGAGGTGAGGGAGGGAGGGAGGGAAGGAAAGAGAGGGAGGGAGGGAGGGAGGGAGGGGAGGGAGGGAGGGAGAGAGAGAGAGAGAGAGAGAGAGAGAGAGAGAGAGAGAGAGAGAGAGAGAGAGAGAGAGAGAGAGAGGGA